CATGCATTAATTATAGGACATCTATTTGAACCCCTTCTGAGCCAAAAATAATATTGTTTCTTAAACAGAACCCTTAAGCCTAAATACTATTTATCTACCTTCCTATATTTGAGAAATGAAATGAGTATGAATGTCACTATTTTTCTTATTGTTGGGGTATTGCTATTGTTGTCCTACAGGTATTGTTGGGGTGTTATTGTTAAAAAAAAAAGGTGTAAAGAAAAAGGAAAAGCAAAGCTTAAAAATTTGCAAAGCCAAAAAAAAAAAAAGATACATGCAAAAGCAAAAAAAAAAAAAAAAGAAGTCAAAAGGGGGTAATAACTTGTGAGATTATTAACTCATTGTCATTGTGTTAGGGACAAAAGCATAAAGTTTGAAACCTGACTTGAGGAATTGTTAATCAAGAATCATTCATATGAGTTGAATTTCTCAAATATTTTTGTATATCCCAGAAAAATCAATAATTCTTTTTTAGCCCAGCCCCATTACAAGCCTCAAAAGACCTTTTGATTTAAATCTTGTTTAACAATTGTTGATTGCTTGAAGATGATTATCAATATTGGATTGTCTAAATGAAGTGATTAAATGAGATAAACACTTACCTATGAGAATTAGAGATGAGTATATATAACTCTATTTGAGAGATCATGCTTCTCTGAGGATAGTTGAAGACTAATTATTCTTTGTTGGTTTCTATAACTTGAATGCTTATGTATTCTATTTTCATTTGGAGTTGTGAGCATCACCCCTAAAAGTTTTTATGTTGTGGTTCTAGAAGAGAAAGAGATAATAGGTGATGATTTTGTTTTGGAAAAATGATTTTGCTTGGGACAAGCAAGATTCTAGGTTGGGGGAAGTTGTTAAGTGGTAAAAAGTTAATATAATTATGCCTTGAATTGTTATGAAACCACTTAACTTATGTTAATTCTAATATATTTTTCTCCCAATATAGGAGTAATTCGAGAATACCTTGATACAAGAGTAATGATCATAATTGTCAGCATAATTAGAGTAAAATTAAAAGAAAGAAGAGCGCTTAAGCAAATGAATGATCCGAGGCCCAGCCCAAATTCTCTTATAAAAAGATAAGTTGTGTTTTGAGAAAAGAAACAATCTTGGAGGAGAGGAGGCACGACTACTGTTAGGGTTTTGTCTAATCTTCATCAATTCTTCACTTCTTCATCAATTGGAGCATTGTAATGGCCAACATGAGTGACTAACTTCATTCTCTTAGGATTCAGTGCACTTCCTTTGAACTCTTTTGTATCATGGTGATATTTTGATATATTAATTTATGTTTTGATGTTGTTATTCTTATCCTTTATGCTTTGGAATGATTTATTCTTGATTGTTTGAGGTATGATTGGAAAATATATCTTGAACCCTAGATCACGATAAGAATATTTGTTACGTTAATTGTCAGGAATGGAATGAATGTATCAATTGCTTAAACACCCTAACCCTAATGCTGGAAAATCTGTTAATTGTGTGAGGAATCAACATTTATTAGGTTTTCTTATGAATTTCATGTGTGAGGAATCAACATGGATGATTTGAGTAGGTGGCATCAACATTGTTAGGTTAATTGACGTTCTTAATTGACATAAGTCATTACAAAAGAGAGATAAGGAAGGAAGTCAATTCTAAGTACCTTTAATTGATATTTTCTCAACAATTTACAGTTCTTTGTCATTTAATTTCAATTCAACTCTTATTTGCAAAACTAAATCTGTTTAATATACTTAGTAAGCATAATTGGGAATTTTCATTAAAACTGTTCCTCGTGGGATCGACTTTTATTTTATCGAAATACTGTACTGCGATTGATAATTTTGGTACGTTTGCCAATAATTCAACATCTTCTAAGTATTTAAATATTTTTATTTGATTATGTTGTTGATTATTTTGATTCCAATTTTCATTTCGATTATTTTTCACTTGACCATTTTTTACTATATTTTCTCTTCGAGGAATTGCTAATGCATCTCCAATCTTAGTTATTTGTTCTACTAATCCCTAAAAACTATCAATTATAATTTGAATTAAAGGGTTTAAAATTGTAGTAATTTATTGTGAAAAAAAAAATTAACATTTTGGTGATTGTTATTATCCATGTGTTGCCTTATTACATTTAAGGAATTGTTAGATATTCTAGTAACTACATTTTCAAAGTTGAGATTATTTCTACCATACTCTCTATCAAAGCCTAATCAACATTGATTTTGATTTCGTTAATTCATTCTATTGGAATTAGAAGTTGGTTCCCATGAAAGAATATCTTAAGGGTATCTTTCATTTAATGATAAATCCTAATTATTATAATATATAGAAGAACTAGCCCCATTCATATTACCTCCCAATTTTGTAGAAGACCTATTGCATTCATATGGAGTCTAGCATAAGTATTTACTAGATAATGGCGAGTGGGAGTTTAGAAATATGGTCACTAGATAAAAAAGATCCCCGGCTGTGATAATTCCAAGTTGGACATTTGGATTGTATCTGCTCTATCAATTCTCTCTTCCTAACACATGTTCTTGACAAACATCCTAATGAATCACAAAAAGTATCAAATGTATTTTAATTGCCGACGTATTGAATCCTTTATTTTGCTTCGTACTGTTTTAAGTAGATAAGAGGATTTGGGAAAGTATGATGCTAATCAGGATTTGAAATAAAGTAGAAAAAGCGATCCTTTTTGTTTGTATCTTAAACTAAAATTCGATTTTGTTCTTATTTTTTTCGATTTAATTGAAATTTGATAATTTAAAAATAATAAATAAATTTTTAATTCGATTTCTCATTAGAAAAATTAAATTGATTGTTGTATACAATGTTTTGAAAATCAGATCTCACCCCTTCAATCCATCTAATTATGATTTAGAATAGAAACCAGTTTATTATTTTCAAATAAATAACTTGATTTTAGTTAAATCAGGACAAAATAGATAAAATCAGTAAGATTTTTTATTAAAATGATTTTGTTAAAAAAAATTAGAATCAATTTTTTTAATATAATTTTTTTATAAAAATATCAAATATTTTGATTTTTTTTATTTCATATTAATTATGTTAATATTAAATAATAATTATTTTATTATATTTCTATTTTATTTTAATATGTATTTTTCTTTTTTTTAATATATTTTATATTTATAATTTTGATTATAATTTATAAAAAATAATAATAATCATATTTATTATATTATAAAATATTATTTTATTAAATTTGATTGAATTTTTAAATTCAAAACTGATGTGTTTACCGTAGGTGATTCGATTTTAGAAAGATTGGTTGTAAGTTTTTAAAAGAAGATTTTCTTTTCGTTAATATGTTTTTGATAACAGAGAGAAATGAAAAAGGAAGAAGGGTATGGATTGAGTTAATGAAGAAAAAACGGCCGTTCCTGTTTCCTAACTGTCATAATCAGAATCAACTCCCTTTGGTCAAATAATTTGACAACTAGAAAAGAGATTACGAAAAGGGGGTATGACTGAACTAATCAGGTTAATAAGAATTGAGCAATTTCATTATTATAAGTGTATATAGCAAAAATTAAAACGGCTATAAAACCCTTTTTATATTGAAACTTACCACAGTGCTCAGAAAACAAACTTGTCAATTCAACCAGGGGAAACCCAGATGGTCCCAGTTTTTAATGTTTTCACACAAAATAAATTTGGACTTTTATTCCAAACGTGTGTGGAAGAACTTAATGAGATTGAAAAAACCAGCCCAAACACTTGGTGGCAGGCCTCGTAAAACACTAGACAGACATTGCAAATTTCAATAACAGCCATAAATGTGACAGGAAAATAGTAAGTTGTGGCAAAATGTTCTGACCAAAATTCTCAAAATATTCATCTTATAATTCCTGTTCAATATAACTATGGAGTGATAAAAGAAAAAAATTATTAATGATGCGTGCTGTCAAGTGAAAATTTGCTTGATAACTGACAGCAATTTTTATCATAGATATCAATAAAGTGAAACTAAAAAATTTTAGTTAGAAAATGGTATAAAAAAAGCATCTAATAGGATGTTTCACTCAAAAGCTTTTGTGGAGTTCACACAATGTATTCAAAGTTGGGAGTAAGATTAGAGGAGAGTGGTGAGAGGCTTGATTGAGTTGAGCTACGCATGGCCAGCTGCTACGGACCAAAAAATTTAATGTATAGGGTGCAGTTAATGACAGATTGAGTGTGTTTTGCAAAGTAGTTCAATTTGTATACTTTCTTTTCTCCTTCTCAATAAATGTATTTGGTTGAAAGACCAGTCCTCGTAAGAAAAATAATGGCCCCAATACAGAAACCAAATCTCCTTCCAACCACAAAGGTCAACGCCATTCTCCATCTTCTTTTTATTTATTTCGTTGCACGTTCTCTACTTTTCTCCCTCAATCTCTCTCTGCTTTTTTTTTTTTTTTCCCTTGCAGGCTTTGTAGCAGCAGTTATTTTATCTGCCTCATTGGTCATTGTCCACCCCATCATTCTACATCATTATGCTTTCCCTTTCTCTCTCTTTTCTAAGACAATTTCTTTGTTATAGTCATGTTACAAAAAGTCTTCTACGTTTATTTAGTTGCAAACTCATCATAGTTTTTATAAGTTATACAAAAAAAAAAGTATAATATTGAAATTTGTTGAAACCATAAAGTAGGTAATGATTCTTGAATAGCCTAAAAAGTCTCGTACCATTACTTCTTTATAATTCATACTTAACCATGTACCATATAAAAATTAATTAAATATGTAATAGTGAATATGAATAAGAGGCTGAGACATTGAAAAAGATATCAATAAAATGTTAGTGATATTGAAATGTTAAAAAAATCATGATTTCTCATTCCTCGTATATTTGTCTTTCTCTTTGGTGGTGTGGACTCACTTGTAGTATCCATAGAACATTATTCTAAGCTCAGTGTTATAAATCCCTCTAGAGAAGAAGCCTCTAAACATCTGACAAACAAAACTTTCTCTCTCTCCCTCTCTCTCTCTTGATGGAGCATTCTCTGAATCCTTCCACGGGAAAAGCGGTGTCTGGCAGTGCCAATGAGGAAAGCGGATGGACTTCTTACTTTGAAGATTTCTCTAAGGGGATGGAGCAGCAAAGTTACTGTTCAAGCTTGGGAGGGTCCTCTTTGGTCTCAGATGCTTCTTCTTCTGCTGCATGGAAACTCTCACATCACAATCACCTTCTCTCCTACCCTCCTGTTAGAGTTAGGGACACATCAACTAATGTGTCTAAGAAACTTCGTTTCAAGAAAACAAGAACCCAACAGATATCAGATGATGATCCTTTGGAAGACACTGCTAGCTCCCCTGTCAATAGTCCCAAGGTATTTAACGTGTAATTGTGATATAATTAAACAGCATGATCTTTTTTTCTTTTTTTTGTTGTTGTTATATATTCATAACGAACCTTCTTTTTGGCTTTCCATCTTTTACAATAGGTAGGGGACTTGAAAATTTCCAGCAAGATTGATGAACAACTTGATGGTTCTACTTCTAGGGTAACCCTGTTAAATTTATGATGTTTGTGATCAGAATGGAAGAAATAATAACTCTTTCAATACTTATCTTAACCAATATATGTGGCCTATGACAATGATTGTGTAGGGTAAGGGATTTCACTTAGAGCATTATCCAAAGCTTCTGCAGACTGATGAGTGTGACATAAATTTTAATGCAAACAATGTTGAGTGCACCACAGACTTGAAGAAAAGGGGTCTATGCCTTGTTCCTTGGTCCATGTTGGTTAATTATTATGGGTGAATGGTACTTTGTCTACTTTTGTATTCTTCTATATATGTAGCTTGACTTCTCAGGTCATGTTGCTGTAAACATAACATGATCAGTGACAGAAAATCCCTGTATTATACCAATCATTGTTAACATGATCATAACTCCATTCCATAATCTACGTTTTGCTCATTTGTTCATCAAAAGAGAAACCTGCATTCTCCAAGGAAAGATATGTGTGCTGAACAAGTTACAAGACAGTAAAAAAAAAGTTATTGAAGGAGATAAAGCTGGCTAAATTTAATGTTCAGAACATGCGGATGACATTACATGCTACTGATTTTTAATACAAGGGACACAAAAAGAGAACTTTTCATGATGTTATTGGTGATGTTGTAATATTATTTTAATACTATGGTAAATCATAAAATCAAAGTTAATGACTTACTGTTAATTAATTGAATGAGAGGTGATATATATGGTTTCTGTCATGGTGATGATACTTAATTGATGGCTGGACCAATTTTTCAAATGGTTTGAAAATAAGAAGGATAGGTGATAAATGAAAACTAGAAAAGAGCTTCTGTAGAACATTGAAAAACGAAGATTCGTGGGTAGCAGTACTCCATTTAATATTAAACATAAAATAATTGTGTGACTCAAGTAGTTTATTAATATCTAAATAATATATCGATACTTTTGATTATTAGATAAATTATCTATTAGACATTGTATTAGATCGTGAGTGCAAAATAGTCTACAAAAATATCAAAGAAAAAACGGTCACGTCACAATTCATCGATTAAACAATTGTTGTTAAATTGTTTAGTAACTAAATCTTTTAATAAATAATTATAATAATGATACATAACTTCCAAAAGTATATGTTGTCTCGTAATCTTAAATGATAGAAAAAATGTAACAAGGTTTGATATGTTATATATGTTTGTTGTTTCTCTCCCAAAAAAAAGTTTGGTTTATGTGATTAATTACATACAATGTCAAATATTTTCAAAGTGACGCTTTTGAGCATCTATTTTTACTAATATATATATATTTGGCTGTACAAACTAATTTTTTTTAACTGGTGCATATATTTCTGCAGAACATTAGTCTTCTTTGAGACTGGTATGTTTATTAATTGAGAAGATGGATGAAGGCAAAGAATTAATATATTTTATTGTGGCAAATATACTAATTATGTCTACAAAACTTCATATTGTTTAGTAACATGATACCAACTCTGACAGAAAGAAAATCAGAACACTGAACCAACCACGAAAAAGATACATATGCAGGCTTCCTTGTACCCTCGAAAGTGTTTAATTTATGAAATAGAATACACAAAAAGTATTGAAAAGGAAAAAATTAGATGGATAGATTTAAAAAGTGTTAGTTAATTTGGTCTCTTGCCTCCAACTGGCCCTTCATTTAATAAACAATATTCTCAAAACGGCTGAAACAAAGACCCCTCCATGTGCTCTCTCTAAAACATTTGAAATGATAATGCTATCTTTCACCCTCTTTATAGCATTGATTAGAGGTTCTTTTTATTATATACATTTCATCATATTAAAACTCAACTAAAATCTTTCAAAAGACTTTGCAGCTAGGTAGATTCATATATTGAATAGATATATGCAGAAGCAAACTTTTCATTTATATAATATGATCGTTATTTTATGAGATATTTAACTTAATTCTAGATTTAATAGATACAAAATATATTTGTCTATATATTATAATTATAATATTACTATATTTTTAATTAACGTAAGATTAAAGAGTATTTTTTTCCATTATATATATATCCTTATATCAAAGAGGATTGTTTATATAATGAGTGTTTAAGTTCCTCATTATTAATAATTATTATCTCAAATAGATATCATTTTTTTAAATAAATCGTTACATACATAACACTAGCATATGGACTTAATAATATGTGAGAATTATATTGATATCTCTAATCAACCTCTAATTTAGCATATGCACACGGGAATGAAGATGTGAAATAAAGTAAAAGTTATCCTCAGATTAATATAATCATTCCTCATAGTAATTAAGATTCTCTCCCGTAAAAAATACCTATAATCTGCTACAAATCTCCATAATGTACAGGCTCCCATTTGGTCAGCATCAAATTATGGTTCAAATCTTCCAAATGAATCAATGCTGAAGCTCAATTCATGCGATTCATACATGCTTTGTATATAAGCTTTGCCTGTCTCCATCACAAAGCAATAATACAAATTGGCGAAACTGTTGACAACGACCTCTGTCTAATTGCATGCCATGGCAAGATCAAAGTTTGCACATCAACCAGGTTGATTGGACTGCTTTTGGATAAAACAATGAGAAATGAAATGCATTTATGTCAAATACATAACTGCTACTAGTGATGTGATTAATGTTGTGGGGTGGTAGATCAAAGGTCGAACTCAAAACCAAAACCTGACAAAATTCAACTTCATGCATTCTACAATAATCCATCTGTTGGAAGCACTGTGTGGATCAACGATCATCATTCTCTCTAGCATGAATCTATTCACTGCAGCGACACATCAGTATGCTTTTTTGTTGCATTGTATCTATCCACGCTGACACACTTGCATGATTTGAAGTGTAATGATTTAGAGTGTGCTTTAGTAATTACCTAGTGAAATATAGAAATAGTGTTGAAAGCATGAATATAGAATAGAAGCTGTTTCAATTTGCTCCAATGAATGCATGCTTATTTGTAAGGTATACGTACGGTAACTAGGTCAATAAAATTCTGTTTGAATATGTTCACGTACGATATAGTATGCATGTTAATATTATATATATATATATATATATATATATATATATATATATATAAATTTTAAAAAAAATAAAGAGTGATATGCAAAATATTACTATGAAAAATAGATATTTTAACTAAATTAATATTCTAGAATCTCGTATCATTTACATTTTAATCTTACCTGTAACATCTTACTTACACAAAAAATTGAACGAGTGTTATTATACTTTTCACATAATTAAATTCTATTTCCCATTATATAAAAAGTCATTTTTAAATTGTATGGGTTTGATTTTTATTTTATTTTTTTATATAACTTTATAATCATAATTAATCTCTTAATTATAGTATTACTTTTTTTTAAAAGTAAACATATATATTAATTAATTAGCTCTTTGATTATAGATGCTAATTATATATAGTTTGTTAGACATAACTAAACTTTGCAAGGGAGAAAAATGTATGATACAAAGGTGTTTGAGTAATTTTTAGTTTTATCCTTTAAAAATTTACAGTTTATTGACTATATAATTGAGTTTATGTTTTTATTAACAAATAAAAACAGATACATAAATCTTATATTAGGATTTTATTAAAAAATTAGATAGAAATTGTTTGTGTTATTTATTTTACAAAGCTTAAAATGAAAAATAAAAGGAAATTGATATAATAATTTATAATTTGGAATACCCTGAAAGAGAATAGAAGACACAACAAATACCAGTTAAGGAACTCTTTTCTCTCGTATTGTATGATTTGTTTAGTTTAGGAAAAAAAATGTTGTAGAGAATGAGATGATTTATATATGTTTTTTCATAGGGGAAAGTTAAAAAAAAAATGTATATAAATACAAATGTTTCTAAAGAAAAAAGAGAGTGTAGAAGGTGAGTGAAATTGGCAATTTAATTAAAAGAAAAGTAATATTCGTTCTTCCTTTCTTTCCAAAGTGAATGAATCAGAAATAAACAAATAATAATAAATAAATAAAAAACAATGGATCACATTTAATTTTTCATTACTTGAAAAGCAACACAAACGGTGAAAGGATCTGTACTTGGATTCTTTTAAATAGTGTGTTTTTCATTATTCTTGTCTCTTTTGGTCATTCCACATAGAGTGTTATAGTTAGACATGAAAATGGAAAGAACAATGATATCATGTATGAAATAATATATTAACAAATAATAACAATATCTAGATATCGTATACAAATTTAAGCAGATTTTTAATTTTTTTTTAAATCACGAGTTTTTTCTCGTTTATTATTAGGTCAAAATATTAGGTTTCTTACTAATACTTAACTTGATACTGACTTGATGAGTATTTAATTTTTATTTTTTTTATAGATAATAAAAAAAGTTCTCTATTACATTAATATAGTTACTCGTGTCAAAAAATTAGCAAGTAGTATCCTTAGTTGTTACTTCATTTACCTTGCCCACACTAAGAACATTGCAGATTTTCCGATACCCTAAAAGGAATAATAAGAAATATTTACACAGAGCCAAACCAAGAAGTGAACGAAGCATTTGGATACTCAAAAAAGGAACACATATATTCGTTTTGCAATCATGGTTCCCCCACCAAGTAACTGGACATTAATTAGCATCAATCATGTGCCACCCTCTCACACTTAACCTAGTCACATTCTCTTGTGTAATGAAATTTTTGTATTGCTTGGTGATGTGTACTGTATTGACTTTTGTACAAACATGTTTCTCCTGTGTCCCCGCGACAACATAAAAAGGTCCCAGTGAATTGAAGCAACTTATACGCTTCTTACGTTGAACTTTGTCTACCATGCAATTTTGGATATGGCAAATGCTGTATACCCTGTCATAATGTAGTATATTTAAAAAATGTTATATATCTAATTTCCACGACGATAAATTACTAGTTACTAGAGTACAAAATAAAAGCCTATAACAAAAGAGCCTCCTGTATCATTTGTCAGAGTCATGAACTCACAACAGTATCAGAGATTCAACAAACATGAAAAAACTACTGTGTTTTGTCTTCTCTACATCTGAAGCACGTAAATAAACTTACCCTTTTTTTCAAATGTCTTTCACTAGTTTGATTTGGAGGAGAAGGAATGTTATTTCATGTATCTTTATTCCTGCTGACATTCTCTGTGATTGTATATCAAAATGGCCGGCAACTAACAACCTCTGCACAAACTGAACAACTTTTTAGGAATAATATCCATTCTCACTTATCACGTATCTTTCTGGACGGCAAAAGGGGAGCTTAAGCTACGGGATTTGGACCACATGTTCTCTTTTTTCTTCATTCTGCATCACAACCTAACTCCAATATTTTAATCTAAGTATCTATTGCATTCCCCTAATTAATCTTAATTTGTAAATGTGGTGGGTAGTTGAAGACAAAGTTGGGAAGGTTCCATGAATTAATATGTGGACTGTGTCTTAGCCTAACCATGTGCAACATAGTCCATGTTTCTGCACATAGATTGTAGCCTCTGATAAATTAGTGTCGTAATGCATGACAAGTGTCAAAGTGTCGTAATTAATACATAGGCTTCAGTTTCTGATTTTCCACTGCTTTAGGCCTAGTAGGCCTAGTTATGAATCCACTTTCATTACTTGTTCGAAAACTCTTAAGCCTCTCAGAAAACCTCCAGGTCTGATTCCTAGGGTACTCTGGGCCTCTCTTCTGGGGTCCTTCTTTTGTGGGCCTAGTGGCCTTTTTTCTTTTTCTATTGTATGGGCGACCAGGAAAAAAAAAACTAAATCAAGCAATATGAGAAATGTGGTTTTTGAAATATAAAAAAATAATTACAACATCTTATGAAACTATATTTTGTTTTGACTCTTGTACATGATCGTGGCTTATTTTTTGATGCCAAAGAAGGCAATTACATAAACAAACCAGTAGTTATGAATAAACTAAAAAGAATAATAAGACAAGTAGTGCATGTGCTGAAGATCCTGGCTCGGAACAATTAAAGCTTGATTTTGGATGCAGAATTGGTAGATATCAACAACATTCCTGGAGCTACCAACAGAGATGTCACAATTGCTATAAGCTGTGGTCTTCAATTTGATAAGGTTGAACATATGAGCATTCCCAGGAAGTGCAGTTGTTGATTTGAAATTCAAGTTCCACTCAAAACATCTGACAAAAAATTGGGATTTCTGATTAACTTTCCTGCCATAAAATCTGCTGAAGTGCTCTCATTAATCTGGTACTAACTCTGCCCCTATTTATTATTGTAAAACTTAAATTAGACGTTTAGTATTCCTATAATGGTTTTAATTATGAGTGGTATAACTAATGAGTTGTAAACCTATTTAATAGGTATTATGATTTACGTTTGGTATTTGAAAAAGCAAATATTTTGGCCATAAATAATTGTAACAACTCATTTGAAATTGTATCAGGAGAAAATTGAGAGCGTTGATTTGTTTTTCCTGTTACCAACAAATTGGCATCAGAGCTTGTGTGTGAGGTGAGTGTGAGAGAACCTACCAAATCTCAAGAGAGAACGCTGCGGTGTGAGAGGAGCAACTTAAAGCTTTGTGAGGTGTGTGAGTTGAGAGCAAACACTTGAGAGGAAATGGCAGGTCTAACCAATGGCATCCCGCTACCCAAGTTGACGAAAGGCACCAACTATGACAACTAGAAGGACAAATGAAGGCTCTTCTCGGCTCCCAAGATAACTGGGATGTGGTCGAGAATGGGTATGAGGAACCGGCAAACACACATGGGTATTCAAATGCCCAGCTGAACGCATTGAAGGCCGTTCAAGCAAAAGACAAGGCGGCTCTGTATCTACTATACCGAGCCGTCGACGAATCTGGCTTTGAGAAGATAGCTAATGCAAAATCTTCCAAAATAGCATGGGATACACTTGAAAAAACAAACAAAGGAGATGAAAGGGTGAAACAAGTTCGACTTCAAACCCTTAGGGGCGAGCTTGAAAACATGAGGATGAAAGAGCCTGAAAGCGTATCCGAGTTCATTACTCGGGTGGAGACTGTGGTGAACAAGCTGAATCAAAATGGTGAGAGTCTTTCATCAAACCGAGTTGTTGCAAAAATCTTAAGATCATTGACAGATGATTTCGAGAATATCGTGTGCGCAATAGAGGAGTCCAAGGATCCGTCAACGCTCACCCTTGAAGAGCTTGCTTGGGTCCCTAGAAGCGCATGAGCGGAGAAGGAAAAACAAGAAGGGGAGTCCCTTGAACGGGCACTCCGGACAAAGGCGACAATAAAAGAGGAGAAGGTGCTATATGCTCGAGCTCTAGAGGCCGAGGAAAAGGCAGAGGTCGTGGTGGTAGAGGAAAAGGAGGACGAGGAAATGAGCAAGACGGTCAACAGAACTGGCGTGGCCAAGGACAGGCTCGGGGTGGCCGGACAAACAAAAACAATATTGAATGCTATAATTGTGGGAAGAATGGGCATATTGCCAAGGACTGTTACACGGTAAAATGCTATAATTGTGGAAAGAATGAACATGTTGCCAAGGACTGTTACTCCGTAAAATGCTATAATTGTGGAAAACTGGGTCATATTTCCAAAGATTGTAGGTCTGAGAAGAAAAAGGAGGAACCAACAAACTTTCTTGCTGAGGAAGAAGATGAAGGATTGTTGATGGTGACAAACACTTCAGAAACTGAGATCAAACCGAACTGTTCTAATAACTCGGTTTGGTACTTAGACACCGGCGCTAGTAACCACATGTGTGGTGATGAACGCTTATTCAAAATACTTTCAAAGGTGGAGTCCGGATCTGTTTCTTTCGGTGATGCTTTGAAAGTAGCTGTCAAAGGTCAAGGAACGATATGGTATCAACAAAGAAATGGGCAAATCGGAGAGATCAGAGATGTATACTACGTACCTGATCTCAAAAGCAACATATTGAGCATGAGACAGTTAATGGAGAAGGGGTACTCGGTTTTGATAAAGGACCGAGAACTACAACTGAAGGATAAATTAGGGAGGCTTGTTGCTCTGGTGGGAATGAAGAAAAATCGCATGTACAAACTTGAGCTGAAGACAGTTCAAGATAAATGTATGCAATTTGATATGGAGGATGAGGTCATGAGGTGACATTTGCGGTTTGGTCATCTTCATTTTGGTGGGTTGACTGCGCTGGTGAAGAAGGAGATGGTGCTCGGATTGCCTAAAATGAAATTCGGAAAAAGGTTCTGTGAAAAATGTGTGATTGGGAAGCAAGCGAGAACTTCTTTCCCAAGAAGTTCTGAGTGTCGAGCAAAGCAGCAACTCGGAGTGATCCATACTGATTTGTGTGGGCCAATAACTCCAGAATCTTTCAGTGGTAAGAGATACTTTGTCTCTTTCATTGATGATTTTTCAAGGAAAACATGGGTTTATTTTCTGAAGGAGAAGTCGAAGTGTTTGAAACTTTCAAGAAATTCAAAGTTATGGTGGAGAAAGAAACAAACAAAGTCATCAAAGCATTCCGATCCGACGGAGGAGGCGAGTTCACTTCTACTGAGTTCAACAAATACTGTGAGGAACATGGGATCAAACATTTCCTGACTGCCCCATATTCTCCGCAGCAAAACGGTGTAGCGAAACGAAAGAACCGAACCATTCTTGATATGGTTCGATCTATGTTGAAAGGGAAGAATATGCCAAAGAAGTTTTGGGCAGAGGCGGTGCAGTGCGCAGTCTCTTTGCAAAATAGATGTCCACATGCAAAGCTAGGAGAGAAGACGCCTCAGGAGATATGGAGTGGTATGAAGCCAAGTGTCTCTCATCTAAAGGTGTTTGGTAGCATGGCTTATGGGCAAGTACCAAGTTAGCACAGGACTAAATTAGAAGATCGGAGTAAGAAGTACATATTTATTGGGTATGATGGAAAATCTAAAGCTTATAAATTGTTTGATCCTGTTAATAATAAAGTGGTGGTAAGCCGAGATGTTCATGTGGAAGAAACAAAGCATTGGTGCTGGAGTAACCCGACAGAAGAAGAAACTAGTTCAGAAATTGTTTTGCCTTCAACAATAACAACCATTGAGTCCTTAGATAAAGATAAAGAAATAGAGCCACAACAGCCCAAGATGAGAAGTCTGCAGGATATATACGACACTACAAATGAAGTTCATGTTGTATGTCTTTTGGCTAATTCCGAAGACTTGAGTTTTGAGAAAGCTGTCCAAGATGAGAAGTGGAGAACAGCCATGGATGAGGAGATTGGAGCGATTGAACGCAACAAAACTTGGGAATTGACTGAACTTCCTAAAGGAGCTCAACCCATTGGAGTAAAATGGGTGTACAAAAAGAAGATGAATGTTGAGGGAGAGGTTGAACGTTACAAGGCTCGACTTGTGGTGAAGGGTTATAAACAAAAGGAGGGAATTGGCTATGATGAAGTATTTGCTCCTGTTACGAGAATGGAGTCAATCCGACTTCTAATCTCATTAGCTGCTCAGAATCAATGGTCGATTCTACAGATGGATGTGAAGTCAGCATTTCTAAATGGAGTGCTGAAGGAAGAGGTGTATGTTGAGCAACCACTCGGGTACATGAAGAGAGGGGATGAGGAAAAGGTATTGAGATTAAGAAAAGCTCTCTATGGGCTGAAGCAGGCTCCTCGTGCTTGGAATGAGAGAATTGATGGGTATTTCAAGAAAAATGAGTATGAACAATGTCCATATGAGCATGCTTTGTACACAAAGAAATCAAAAAAGGATATGATGATAGTTGCTCTTTATGTTGACGATCTCATATTGACTGGAAGCAATACGAAGCTAATTAAGGAGTTCAAGGAGGTAATGAAGAAAGAGTTCGAAATGACAGACTTAGGGTCGATGAAATATTTTCTTGGTCTAGAAGTGAAGCAGATCGAGAGGAAGGAATTTTTATATCCCAAGAGAGGTATGCACTTGAAATTTTAAAGAAATTTAAAATGGAGGACTCAGTAACCTGGCTTCTACTCCAATGGAACCAGGCACTAAACTTTCAAAGTTTGATGGAGGAGAACGAGCCGATTCTCGGGAGATATCGAAGCTTAATCGAAGTCCGAGATACCTTACAAGCACAAGACCCGACTTAATGTTGAGTGTTGGGATAACGAGCAGATACATGGAGAATCCAAGTTACACACATTGGAAGGCCTTAAAGAGAATTTTGAGATATGTTCGAGGAACCTTATCACTTGGTCTATTCTATTCAAAATCGGATGACTACCGACTAGTGGGTTACTCGGATAGTGATTGGTGTGGTGATATTGATGACCGGAAAAGTACTTCAGGTTATGTGTTCCTACTCGGAAAAACAACTTTTACTTGGCTGTCAAAGAAGCAACCCATTGTAACTCTGTCAACCTGTGAGGCTGAGTATGTGGCGGCCTCTTGGAGTGTGTGTCATGCAGTTTGGCTTTCAAATTTACTAAGGCATCTGGGAGTGATCCAAGACGAAAGGATTGTAATTCGAGTTGACAACAAGTTAGCGATCCAGTTGACAAAGAACCCGGTTAATCATGGAAGAAGCAAGCACATTGATGTCCGATTTCATTTCATCCGAGAACAAGTTAGAGAAGGAAAGGTTGAGTTGGAGCATGTTGAAAGCCGAGCTCAAGCTGCTGACATATTCACCAAATCACTGCCAACTACACTGCTGGAGAGTTGTAAAAGACTTATTGGAATAAGAGATGGGAAGAGTATTTAAGTTTAAGGGGGAGATTTATTGTAAAACTTAAATTAGACGTTTAGTATTCCTATAATGGTTTTAATTACGAATGGTATAACTAATGAGTTGTAAACCTATTTAATAGGTATTATGATTTACGTTTGGTATTTGAAAAAGCAAATATTTTGGCCATAAATAATTGTAACAACTCATTTGATACAATTTGAAATTGTATCAGGAGAAAATTGAGAGCGTTGATTTGTTTTTCCTGTTACCAACATTTACCTCTTATCATGAAAGTTGACATAACTAGTGGAGTTTATGTACTTACAGGTTCCACAGTTTGGATTCCCTACATTAATTATCATGCCTAGTAGTGTCAATACAAACTTCAGAATAATTAAAATGCATTTATTTGACTATTACTGTTATGTTATGATGAACACAAAAAGTGTCTGGAGCAAAACGGCAACAAAAGCCACAAACTTGCGCTGATAAAAAAATAATAATAATAACGTCATTAAATTAATTTTACTAAGTTATGAGATTTTGGAATCACTAGGATTAATGATAGAGATATTCTTATATACACGCCTCAAATAACTCAATTTTACACATAATCAATAAAAGAAAAAATTTGTATATTATATTCCTTTTCAGTAGTCAACTCTCCTAGAATTTTGTCACACTTCAGTTTTTTTAACTTATAAATTTCAGGGTTTTATTATTATTTTTTATGTCCGTGTTTATATAAAAGTGCCAGATTATAGAATTGGTAAACCTAAACCCTAAACCTGTTTTATTTCGTTTCATCTAATCTTTCAATCTAACATATCTAGAATATAGTGGAACAGTATTGTTTTAAAAAAAACATTATATATTAAAATAAAAATAAAAATTTATAATTAAAAATATTACATTTTTATTGTTATATTTTTAAAATATATAAATATATTATAATATTATAATTTAAATAATAAATATTAATTAATTAAATTTAAATTATTGATTATAATTAATTATTTTAATATATAAATATAATATTTTTTAATTTATCTAATAAAAATATTAATAAATAAATAAAAATTTAAAAATAATTTAGATAATTAAAAGTATACTTTTAAATAAATACATATAAAAAAATATTTAAATTAGTCGTCTAATTCATTAATTTGTCTTTTAACAAGACAAGTTAGGATATATAATATGTTTTAATTATGATGAGTTATCCCGTTTTAATTTATTTTTGATGGACTAAAAATATTACAAGTTAAAACAAAATAGATTTTCATGTTTTAATAATATAAATTTATTTAATAGAATTTTGTAAATTTCTTTTCAGACGCTATTTCGCTTATGCTTGACTGTTTCTTCTTTTATTTAAAAATTCAAAATAAGTTTTTCAAATTAAGAAAAAATTACTCTATATTTTCATTTCTATTGCCTTGAAAATTTCTAATAGAAAAGTAAAAAAAATAAGTCAGACCAAATATACATCACAATTAACATTTAGCTTATAAACTATTTTAAATGCGTTAACCAATATTAATAATTGGATTTCATTAAGTTTTGGCCTTAAGCTGTTTGATATCCGTTTTTCAATTTTTGATGAATAAAAAAATTGAAACTCGTCCTATTTATTATTGATTTACTTTACAGATGTTATAATTTATTTTCACATAAACTTTATACTTTCTTCTTCTTCATCATTTACCAGAAACACTTCTTAATAGTTTAAGATCGAAGTTTTCGTCACCTAACATCAATACTTCTTTATCAAGCCAATTCTCCAACTCCATGATTGGTGCCGTAATATCATAAGTGTTAAAAGAATCAAGAACATTTACACCAGTCTACAATTTGCAAAGAAAACAATCAAGAACAACAAAACACAAGCATTGATTAATGTATTATGGCAATGTCAACATTTACACCGTACAAAAACCAATGATAAAAAGAAAAACCATGAACAAAACCAGTTATGAATGAAATTAATAGAACAAGGGTACTAGGAGTTGTGCAGAAAACCCTTCATAAAACCAATCAAAGCTTGATTTTGGATATGCATTTGGTATCAACATTGCTAGAGATGATGTTAAGAGAGATGTCACAAGTGCTATAAACCGTGGCCTTCAATTTGAAAATTTTGAGCATGTGTGCTTTCCCTGGCAGTGTAGCAGTTGATGTCAAATTCAAAGATCCACTTAGAACATCTGACCAAAATTTGGAATCATTGACCAACTTTCCCACCATCAAATTGGCCCAAGTGCTCACATTAATCTGCCCAAATGCTGGCACTAACTCACCCTTTATTGGAACTTCACCCACAATGTTATCATGAAAATTCACATACCCAGTGGCATTGTGGTATTCAAAGCTTCCATAGTTTGGATTCCCCATAGTGATCACCATTCCTAGACTCACATTTGCTGTAAAATTAGTCAAAAGGGACAAGTCTAAGTTTTCCAGACCAACTGGTCGGACCATGATGTTTGGATCCTTGGGTTTAAAAACTGTTAGAAATAAGGTTACAATGATAACTGTAACAATGATCAGGAAGGATAGAGACATGACCAAGCAAACCTTGAGACCTTTCTTAGCCATGGTTTCTGACTCTCTGGCTGGCTAACTGGGTATGACTGAGGATGAAAAGTATGAATTAATTCAATTCTGAAATGTTTGTGACTGTGTTGGATTATATAGCAAGGTGGGTGACTCTTTTATGATATATAGATTGATTTGATTCAGAAGATTCTGAAATTGAACTTATCGTGGTTCAATTGGTATTAATCAAAATAAACATTGGGTCCAAAAGTCTGCACCTTACTCCTAATTTGAGAAACCCAACGCGTGAACAAATAAAAATCCATATTATGTGTCATCAACTACATCATCAATTTTTTGTGCCATCCATGTTATATGTCATCAAGTCCTCACAGTTCCATATATTTGGATCATATACTAGTTTTTTAATTAATTTAAATTTGTATTCCGTATTTGGCAACTAGTTACTACTTTTGTTATTTCAGGCAAATACAAAATGAAGCATAACACAAATGCATTTATTAATTTGACTACTTATTACAATACGTGGTGACGGAAACAATAAGAGGAATCCACCAACAAGCACTGAAAAGAAAAAAAAATATTTTTTTAACCTGAAACCATTAATTTATTTTTTATGATTTTTAAATTGATAAAATATTTAATTATAGTGGCATATATGTTAATAAGAAACATATATATGCTGATGCTTTTAAACAATAAAAACATTAAATGTAAATAGATATTGGTTTTATAATTATGATAATTTTTATTTTCGTAAGTTTGTAACAATTTATTGAATTATTACGGTAACAAACAACGATGCTTAATTACGCGTTAATAAATAAAATATTTTATTTAGTATTATTATTTTCATAACACAATAAATATATATATATATATATATATATATATATATATATATATATATATATATATATATATATATAACACATATAAGATTCATTTGTTTCCTTTCATTTGAGTTTTAAGAACAATATCACAAATTTACGAATAAATCATGTTTATGATTTGCATAAATTAAAGGTATTTTTAAAGATTTTATTTGCGCTAAAAGGGTTTTCTACTTGTTACATCATCGTGTATTATTGACTATTTAAGTTAAAATTATAGATAATAAAAGCAAGTTATTTCTTTTACAATTTAATTTTATATATTAAAGTATTTGATAAATTGTTCTAAACAATATAGTACCATAGTCCTCATTAGACCTGATATATCAAAGTTGCAATATTTACCTTTTTACCTAACACACAAAAATAACTTCACTTCAGAAGATAATTTTATCCAACTCATCATTCCATGCTTTGATGGTCACTATGACCATTAGAGCATGTTAATGAAGAATTTTATTCGATCTAAGGAATATTGGAAGCTAATCAAGTCTGACTATGTTACGACAATAAGAGGCACAGTACCGATAGAATCATAACAAAAGAAGAATGATGAGATGAAATTAAAAGATCTTAAAGTGAAGAATTATCTTTTTCAAACGATTAAATGAACTATTCTCGACACCATTCTTAAGAAGGATACTTCTAAAAAGATATGAGATGCTATAAAGAAAAAATTTGAAGGAAATGCAAGGGTCAAGAGATCTCACCTTCAAGCCCTTCGTTGGAAATTTGAAGTTCTTGAGATGAAATTTGGAGAAACAATGACAAAATATTTCTCTAGGGTCATGACAGTGGCAAACAAAATAAGAATTTATGGAGAAGACATGTTAGATATTAAAGTAATGAAAGAAAATTCTCTACTCTTTAACTATATTGTATGTTCTATTGAGGAGTCCAAGGACATTGATGCACTCTCTATTGATGATTTACAAAGCTCATTAATAGTGCATGAACAAAAATTTTAGAGATGCAATGGAGAGGAACAAGCCTTGAATGTGATGTCTGGAGGAGAAAAAGGACATGGTAGAGGTACCCATAGAGAAGAGGAAGAGGTCGAACAAATTTCAACAAGAAAACTGTAAAGTGTTACCAATGCCATCAGCTTGGACATTTTTGCTATAAATATCCTCAAAACAAAGAAGCAAATTATGCAGAGCATGAAGAAGAAGAAAAAATGTTTTTGATGTCTTGTGTGGAGTCGTATGAGACTAAAAGAAAAAATGCATGGTTTCTTGATTCAGAATGTTCAAATCACATGTGTGGTGATCCAACTATGTTCCATGAGCTGGATGAAAATTTTCACCATTTAGTAAAATTGGGAAACAACACTAAGATGAATGTAATGAGAAAAGAAAGTGTTAGGTTGCCATTCGATGGAGTAAATCTCGTAGTCATTGAAATATATTATATTTCAGAGCTGAGAAATAATCTCTTAAGCATAGGGCAATTACAAGACAAAGGTTTTTCTATTTTGATCAAGGGAGGAATATGCAAGATATTTCATCCAGAGAAAGGTATAATTCAAACCAACATGAGTGCCAATAGGATATTTATCTTGTTGCCTCAATAATTGACTTCCCCAACACAATCTAACCAGTGTTTTCACACAAGCATTGAAAATTTATCTCAACTTTGGCACCAAATGTATGGACATTTGAGTTATAGTGGCTTAAGAACACTATTAAACAAGAACATGGTACATGGACTTCGTCAACTCTCTATGTCAACTGTAACCTGCTCTGATTGCATCAATGGGAAGCAATATCGCAATTGTATTCCGAAGAAAAGTTATTGGAGAGCAACTCAGAAGTTGGAACTCATTCATGCAGATATATGTGGTCTCATCACTTTAACATCTAACAACAAAAAAAGGTACATCCTACTATTCATTAATGATTATAGTAGAAAGGCATGGGTGTATTTTTTGGCAGAGAAGTTAGAAGCTTTGAACTCTTTCAAATGTTTTAGGACTATGGTTGAAAAGGAGGCTGAGACATGTATTAAGTGCTTGCAAACAAATAGAGGAGGAGAATTCAATTCAAATGAGTTCAACAATTATTGCAAACAGAATGGAATAAAGAGACAATTGACCACTGCTTATACTTCGCAACAGAATGGTATTGTTAAGAGGAAGAATAGAACAGTGTTGAATATGGTGCGCTCCATGCTATCAGGTAAAAACATTCCAAAGACTTTCTAGCCAGAGGCTATTAATTGGACTATTTATGTTCTAAACAGGTGTCCCACATTGGCAGTAAAGGATGTAACGCCGAAGGAGTCTTGGAGTGGTGTAAAACCCTTAGTTAATCACTTTTGGGTCTTTGAATGTATAACACATGCACATGTTGCAAAAGAAAAGAGGACTAAACTTGACAATAGAAGCATTACTTGTGTATTGTTGGGAGTGAGTGAGGAATCAAAAGGCTACATGTTGTTTGATCTTATTGCTAAGAAAGTTATGGTGAGTAAAGATGTGATCTTTGAAGAAGAAAAACAATGGGATTGGGATGAGACATAAACGGTACCAGATTTAGAATGGCGTGATGATAATAATGAAAGAAATACTAATGTAGAAACAGGAGCAATTTATGATAAAATAGTTTAACATGAAGAAGAAAATTTCAGTGATGGTGAAGATATAGTACTAAGGCAAAAACAATATAGAATCAGGCACCCTCCTACATGGATGAGTGATTATGTTAGTGATGAATGCTTATCGGAGATGAGACTCACATGACTTTAATGGTGTTAATTGATCCAATATGTTTTGAGGAAGTTATGAATAGTTCAAATTGGATATTAGCTATGAATGATCAAATCAAATCAATCAACAAGAATCAGACATGGATACGCATAGAACTACCTATTAGAGCAAAAGAAATTGGAGTAAAATGGGTTTACAAAACCAAATACAATGAGCATGGAAAGGTTGATAAGTACAAGACTCAGTTAATAACTAAAGGGTATTATTAAAAGCATGGAGTTGATTACACAAAAGTCTATGCACCAGTGGTAAGTTTGGATACATTAAGAATGATTATTGCTCTAGTTGCACACAAGAATTGACAAATTTTTCAGCTAAATGTTAAGTCAGCCTTCCTTCACGGAGAACTAAATGAGGATGTTTAGGCAGTGAACATTTGGTTTACAAGTTACATAAAACTTTGTATGGATTAAAACAAGCTCCACAAGCTTGGTTTTGTCGAATAAAAGCCCATTTTATTGGAGAAGGATTTCAACAGTGTGATAGCGAGCAAACTTTATTCACCAAGAGAATTCAAGGAGGAAAGATTATCATTATAAGTGTTTATGTTGATAATTTAATTTTTACTAGTAACGATGAAGTTATGATGTCTAAATTTAAAAACGCTATGTTAAGAGAGTTTGATATATCTGATTTGGGGAAGATGGGATTTTCTTCATGGGATTGAGGTGCTGCAAAGACCGAATGACATTTATATATGTCAAAGAAGGTATGCACTAGAAGTGATGAGGAGGTTTGGTATGATGGATTGTAATGCAGTGTGCAATACAATAGTTCTAGGTTTCAGATGAGTAAAGATGGAACTATAAACTATGTTGATGATACCTATTATAAACAACTGATTGAAAGTTTGATGTATCTCATCGCCACAAGACCTGACATGATATTTGTTACTAGTCTCATAAGTAAATATATGACAAAACTAATGGACATTCACCTCCATGCAGCTAAAAGAGCACTTCAGTGAATTATGGAATTTATTTTAGGGTAGCAGGAAATGATAAGTTATTGGGTTTCAAAGACAATGACTATGCAGGAGACATGGAAGACAGGAAGAGTACATCTGGCTATGTGTTTTTAATGAATTCAAGGGTTCTCTCATGGTGTTAAAAAAAATAGTCTATTGTAACTTTATCAACCACAGAAACAGAATTTGTAACGACTTTTATTTGTGTTTGTCAAGGAGTCTTGATAAAGAGAATCTTAAAAGAATTGGAACATTCTTATGAAAACGGTATAATTATAATATGTGATAACAATTTTTACGAAATCTTATTAAAGAAGATATAATTGAATTAATTCGTTGTAAAAATTAAAATTTGGTAACAAATATAATACAAAATAATTAAAGGATGAAGTTTTTCTAAAGTTTTTAGAACTCTTAGAAATGTGTAACTATATAAATTAATTGTTTCATAGTATTTAGTTGAAGGAAAAAAATGAAAGAATGATTAGTTATTTGTTATTTAAGTGAAGAGAATAAACTATTTATTTGTAATTCAGTATTATATATTAAATATCAATCGTTCTCCGTATCCATTATCTTTTTTTTTCGACAAATTCTCTAAAAGTTGTCTATTTGTTATAATAAATTTCTTTAATTTTTAATTTATTACGAAAATGACCTTTCTTCGACATAGTTTGTGTATGAGCAATGATAGCTTTGAGTGAAGGTCTTCCTGGTTGGTTTTTCTTCAATTTGAAGTAAAGTCTGAAATTCTCCCCTTTGGTTCACGCTTCTTCAACAATTTGAATTGAACTATTTTAATAAATAATTCTCATATCTATAATATTTTTATTGTAATCTGGAAAAAAAATGATTGAAGTATCCATGTAACATATGATTTACTCTAAATTTATATATAAATATTTACATTCTTGCTGTTATTTTTTTAAATATATTTTAATTCTTATAAAATTAGTAATTTCTATTTTTTTCACTTTGTTTTTTATAAAAAAATTTCTTTATAAAATTAAAATATTTAGTTTCAATTCTCGTAAAATATGTGAATTTATGCGTTAGCTTTTATAAAATATTTTTCTTCAATTTTCGTATCTCCAAAATTTCAAACATAACTTTTAAAGTATATTTATCCGATATCGAAACTGCTCACAAATAAAAAGTCAAAACAATATGATTCTTTGACAAAGGTGATTGAGTGCTAATTTTTCAAAATTTGGGTCATGTATATATATGATACATATTTAAATGTGTTAGGGTCATTATTTATTAAGTCAAATAATAAAGTTATCTGACTAAATTAAAAAGGTTTGGCTAAAAACATATGTCATGAAAATAAAATTGTGTATAGACCATAGAGCAATTTCTAATTTGATGAGGGGCTAAATTTGAAATACTAAAACCTAAGTAATTAACCTAATTTTGGTTATTTTAAGGGGTCATGGTCCCTTTCTGGGAGCACGTAGACAGAACGCAGTTACAGTCCCGTTCTTTTCTTTCTATCCCCATCAAGAGAGAAAATCAAGAGGGAAATACAGGTGGAAGACCATAAGATCAATAGTGCTCTAAAAAAAAAAGAGACATACACTTTCGCATTTAGTTTACAACATGTTTATGAGTATGAATTATATTTATGATTGATCATTAGAATAAAGATCATATTTAATTATCAGTTTACCTAACAATTGGTATCAGAGCAACCCATACTTAATTCATGTTTGTTTTTGGAAATTACATTTAATAAAATTTAGATTCTGTTTAATTCAGCATCTTAGGTGGAGAATAATCTCCAATTTTCATAAACCCTAAATTCAAATTTGGGGGTAAATTCCTAATTTTTAATCCTAATTTCGGTTTTCTAAGCATTCGTTTCCTCTCTTTCCTCATCCACTATTTCTCTCTGTTTTCTGGTCCCGCCGGAAAACCTCTTTCGATTTCGGCCTCCCTTTTCCGCGTTTTCGGAGGAAGCTGATTTCGGTCTTCTCATTCGCACGTTTGCATTCTTCCGCAATTGGCTAATTCAGTGAATGAAAAAGTGAAGGGGTTCGCGGGGCACAGATGGGTGGTGTTTGTGTGCGCGATGTGGGACATGGCATTCGCAGGCACCTCTTACATGTTCGTGAGCATATCGCCGGTGATAAAGAGCAGCATGGGTTTCAACCAGAAGCAGGTGGCGTTGTTGAGCGTGGCCAAGGATTTGGGTGACAACGTTGGTCTTCTTGCTGGCAAAATCAGCCTGTTTTCCCCCATTTGGGCTCTCTTTCTCGTTAGGATCTTCCAAAATGTTCTCGGTTATGGCCTTGTTTGGCTTCTCGTCACGCACCGCATTCGGTCTCTGCCTTTCTAGCAGTTTGAATCAGATTTAAGTGACAATAAATAAAGCCTAGGCCTGGAGCAATGTGGCCAACTGCACGAAATGGTTTTCAATTATTTGTTTACCAAGATGACGTGAGTAAAATACTTATATCTCCCTTACATGAAGCTATGGTGGAATTATGGCAGGAGTTCTTTGCTAACCCAGAGGAGTATATATATTTGATTTTATTATATAAATAAAATATTAATTTGTTTGGTAGTTTAATATTTTTGTGAGCAAATTTAGTCAAGAAGTTACCAAAGTAACATCTCTTGAATTGGGTAGTTCGTGAAAAATATTAAATGTTAGAGTTTGTGTATATTCATGCGAGTATTAGTCGGCCCAAAGGAAGGTTAATATTTGACCGAATTGCATATACACTTGTAATGATAAACATGTGATAATTATAAAGATTTGCTTTGTCGATGATAAATCAATCCAAAGACTGGTTTGTTGTTGGACGTGTTTTATTGTCAATGTTTGATTATTACAACAAGATACCTCTAGCAGCTTAATATTACTCGTCCAAAGACTTGATATTGATGGTGCATTAGGTGTCTTGAGATGGGTTAAACCATTATTTGAATATATATTTTATTTATAATTATTTATTTTTTATAATGTGAGCATAATTAATTTATTTCTCTTGTTTTTAATTTAGCTACAATTGTTTTTGTATCTGCCAATTTAAATTATGTTCTGATCCTCAAAAGTATGTTTCCTATTTTGGTCTGTTCTGAAGTCAATTTAGCGTTAGTACCTAGTAACACTTGGTGGTTAGACTCAGGTGCAACTACTAACATCAGTGTTTCTATGAAGGGTTGCTTAAGCTACCGGAAGCCAATTGATTCTGAAAGATGGATATATGTTGGAGATGGCAAATCGGTAGAGGTGGAAGCTATAGGGAATTTTAAATTGTTATTGAGTACTGGTTTTTATTTGGATTTGAAATACACTTTTGTTATGCCGTCATTTAGACGGAATTTGGTTTTAGTTTCTTTTCTGGACAAATTAGGTTATTTGTGTTCATTTGGAAACAATAAGTTCAGTTTGTCTTTTAATTCAGATATTATTGGAACTGGTTCACTTTTGCCTTATGATAATCTGTATTTACTTGATAATGTGACCACCTATAATGAAACCCTTAATACAGAATCACGGGGTACTAAACGTAAAATTGATGATACTCACTCAGGAGTATTATGGCACAGGCGCTTAGGTCACATCTCTAAAAATAGAGTTGAACGACTTGTGTCAACTGGACTCTTAGAGTCCATTGACTTCACAAACTTTGATGTTTGTGTTGAATGCATTAAGGGCAAACAGACCAAAGCGAAGAGATTAGGTGCATATAGAGCTACAGATGTCTTAGAGTTGATACATACGGACATTTGTGGGTCATTTCCTACACCTTCGTGGAATGGTCAACATTTACTCACGATATGCATACTTATTCCTTATACATGAAAAGTCACAATCTCTAGACGTGTTCAAAACATTTAAAGCTGAAGTTGAAAATCAACTCAATAAAAGAATTAAGTCTATCAGATCTGATCGTGGTGGTGAGTACTATGGCAGATTTGACGGGTCAGGTGAACAGCGTCTAAGACCTTTTGCCAGGTACCTAGAGGAGTGTGGAATTGTCCCACAGTATACCATGCCGGGATCACCTAGCATGAATGGTGTAGCTGAAAGACGAAATTGAACTCTTAAAGATATGGTCAGGAGTATGATTTATCATTCCACCTTACCAGAGTCACTCTGGGGAGAGGCACTAAAGACGACAACTTATATTCTGAACAGAGTACCAACTAAAGCAGCGACCAAAACACCTTATGAGCTTTGGACTGGGCGACAACCTAGTTTGAAGCATTTCCATGTGTGAGGTTGTCCAGCTGAGGCAAGACCTTATAAGCCAAATGAAAAGAAATTGGACTCACGAACAGTAAGTAGTTATTTTATTGGTTATGCTGAAAGATCCAAGGGATATAAATTTTATGATCCCACATTAAAGGCAATTTTGAGACAGGAACTGTTACATTCTTTGAGGATATTGAGTTTAGAGGGAAGAATAAAATCAGGAACTTTGTCTTGGAGGAAGAATCGGTAACAATTCCAGAACCGATTCAAACAGTTACTTTTGATAAAGTAAGTTCGGAACCTCCACAAGGCATTGTTAATGAACCCCTTACTCAAGATGATTTGGTTGTTCATGAAGAACAAACTCAAGATCCTTAAGAACCTGTGCATCATGAGCCAATAACTTTGCGGAGATCCACTAGAGAAAGAAGAAGTGCTATTTCGGATGATTACATGGTATTTCTTCAGGAACATGAGGAAAACAATGGTATGATGGAAGATGACCCAGTTAACTTCCGTCAAGCCATGCAAGGTTCTAACTCTGAAAAGTGGATTGAAGCAATGAAGGAGGAGTATAAGTCCATGCAAGACAACAAGGTTTGGGAACTTGTCCCATTACCGTAAGGTATGAGACCCATTGGTTGCAAGTGGATATTTAAGACCAAACGGGATTCTAAAGGTAATGTGGAAAGGTATAAGGCTCGTCTGGTAGCTAAGGGCTATACCCAAAAGGAAGGGATTGATTTTAAAGAGACTTTCTCTCCAGTTTCATCGAAAGACTCTTTTAGGACAATCATGACTCTTGTAGCACATTATGATTTGGAGCTTCATCAAATGGATGTCAAGACGGCGTTTCTTAATGGCAACATTGATGAGACGATTTATATGGTGCAACCAGAAAATTTTGTGCAGGGAGATTCAAAGAGTATGGTTTGCAAATTGACAAAATCCATTTATGGACTAAAACAAGCATCTCGTCAATGGTACTATAAATTTCATCAAGTAATTCTCTCATTTGGCTTCAAGATGAATATTGTTGATGATTGTGTATATCACAAGTTTAAGGGGAGTAAGTATATTTTCCTGATCTTGTATGTTGATGACATTCTACTTGCCACTAATGATATGGGCATATTGCACGAAACCAAGAAATTTTTATCAAAGAATTTCGAAATGAAAGATCTTGGTGATGCGTCTTTTGTATTAGGAATTCAGATACACCGAGATCGGTGTCGGGGTATTTTGGGATTATCACAAAGGAGCTATATCGAAATAATTCTTAAAAGGTTTGCATGCATGAATGTAAATTCGGGGATACTCCAGTTGCTAAGGGAGACAAGTTTAGTCTCAATCAGTGCCCAAAGGAAAATTTGGAAATTGAGGAAATGCAAAAGATTCCCTATGCATCAGCTGTAGGGAGTTTAATGTATGCCCAAGTATGTACGCGTCCAGACATAGCATACATAGTTGGGGTTCTAGGCAGATATTTAAGCAATCCAGGAATGGACCATTGGAAAGCAGTAAAAAGGGTCATGAGATATTTGAAGAGAACAAAAGATTACATGCTCACATACAAGAGGTCAGACCAGTTGGAGATCGCTGGGTTTTCCGACTCGGACTTTGCAGGATGTCAAGATAGTTTGAAATCCACTTCAGTGTTACATTTTCATGTTAGCAGGTGGTGCGGTTTCTTGGCGCAAGTATCAAGCAAACCCTTACAGACTTCATCCACTATGGCAGCGAGAATTTGTAGCATGCTATGAGGCGTCGAATCATGAAATATGGTCGAGAAATTTTGTCACAAGGCCGCAAATTGTGAAAGGCATTGAAAGACCACTTAAGTTATATTGTGACAACAAATCAATCGTATTGTATTCCAACAACAACGAAGTTCGACTAAGTCAAAACACATCGACATTAAGTTCCTAGTTGTTAAGGAAAGAGTACAGAGTGGACATGATTTCCATAGAACATTTAGGGACAAACTCCATGATAGCAGATCCTCTAACTAAAGGACTTCCGCCCAAGGTCTTTCATGAGCATGTTGCTCACATGGGTGTTTTACAGTTTGAGGAATTTGTGGTTTAGTGGGAGTTAGTCATTTTCATATATTTTATGTTCTATAATTTTATATATGTATACATTGTTTTTTTTTTGACATATTTGGTTATCTATAGATATGCGGTTTTCTTGTTCATTCATTACACTTTGTACATTAAGGTTATTGTATCGATCTCGATAAGTTAAAGTTTGAACCAGTTGAAAATAGACGTGTACAGATCACCTTCACGTAATTTTTCATGCTACACATTTCATGATGAATCCATGTCGTTTGGTTATGTCAGGATGAGTAATCATTGTTGGTTTTAGTTGCGATGATGCAATGAAAAGCTGCTTTGGTTCTATATCCTGATATGATTAATGGACAAGACTTTTGGAATATGCTAAAGGAATATAATGGCAATTATGAGCTCATAAAGTTTAACACATTTGTAAGGTTGTAAGGACATATATATTTGTGACCAGTGGGAGATTGTTGGTAAAATTTGGGTCATGTATATATATGATACATATTTAAATGTGTTAGGGTAATTATTTATTAAGTCAAATAATAAAGTGATCTGACTAAATTAAAAAGGTTTAGCTAAAGACATATGTCATGAAAATAAAATTGTGTAGAGACCATAGAGCAATTTCTAATTTGATGAGGGGCCAAATTGGAAATACTAAAACTTAAGTAATTAACCTAATTTTGGTTATTTTAAGGGGTCATGGTCCCCTTCTGGGAGCACGTAGACAGAACGCAGTTACAGTCCCGTTCTTTTCTTTCTATCCCCATCAAGAGAGAAAATCAAGAAGGAAATACATGTGTTCTTCAGGTGGAAGACCATAAGATCAATAATGCTCTAAAAAAAAAAGACATCATCATTATGGCTAATTCAGGTACGTTTTCTCATTTAGTTTACAACATATTTATGAGTATGAAATTATATTTATGATTGATCATTAGAATAAAGATCATATTTAATTATCAGTTTAACTAACATTTTTTACAAAGGTGATTGAGTGCTAATTTTTCAAAAAAATGAAAAAGAAAGCATGGAATATGTAGGAAAAAAAAATGGACATTTTATGTTTTGAACATTTTGTTGATTCTAGCTGGATACAATCTGGACAAATACAAAAGTGACATTCCTTCCACATTCATTGCAGAGGTTTCAGGAACTCCAAAAGCCAAGCCATGGTCAATAAGTCAACCCACATATCTATTCATCTCTCTGTTTCTTCCTCAAACTGTCCTACCACTCCTTTACACTTTGCAATGCCTCTTTTCTTTAACCTAAATATTTTCTTTTTCAAAAATATTCTAATCGTTCTTCAAAAAGACGGGATTTTTTTTTTAATATTTTCAATTTTATAGAATACTTGTTAATTTTTAATTTTATACAAAAGCATTTGTTATAATTCATACTAAAAAATGATGATAAATTTAAAACAGTTAAATATTTGTACAAAATTCATACTAGCAAAGAAAGAGTTTGACTAGCTATTAATATGCTTTTATATTTTTAACTAATTGAAAATTATTTTAGGTATACAATTTAAAAGATTGTTATAAAAATCAACAAATTTCAAATATAACAACAAATAATTAAATGATATTGTGAAAAAAGATATTTACTTTTTTATAGTTAAAAGTTTAAGAAAACTGAGTCTTTATGTAAGTCTCAAAACTAAAAAAGATATTTACATATTCATGATAGAATTCTTTAACTTGGTTTACCGTTGATACAGAATATTTTAATCTTTATTAATAACTAAAAATTTTATCTACAAATTTTGAAATTGAAATACTTGTTTAAAGGATTGGAACCCTCCACTCTCATCAACCTTTTGTAAAATGAATTTTGAAAAAAAATTATATCGTTATTAATTTTTTATTTTATTCTAAAAAAAAAGATAAAATTGTAAATACTAAAGTACCTTATTCGTATATAATCTCAAAACCTTTGTTAAACAACATTGATTATCAATTTTATGATTTAATAATAAATTAAAAGTAAATAACTGACATTCTCCAGGAGGAAATGGAAGCATTTGTTATTTTTCAAGAAAATGTTTGAAATATAAAACAAGACAAAAAAACAAAAACAAAAGGCATTGTGAGAGAGTGTTCGTGGGTTTGCCTTGCCTTGCTTCGCTGTCGTTTCGCCGGCCAAAGACACAACAATTATTGACGTTTTAGTGTCTGCTTTGGACATCTCTCTCTTCTCTCTCACAGTTTGATTTGATTTCACGATGAACGACCTTCTCACTGTAAGTTGATATCTGCAATTCCCTCTTTCGATTCCAAAATTCGATTTTGATCACTGGGTCTTGTAGTTCTGTTGCTGAACTTATTGTTTTTCTGTTCTAATTTTCTGCCATCTCAGTGTCAGATTCATACGCTGTTTTCTATTAAATTTGTAAATAACCGATATTTAGAGGTGCCCAATCTTTGGCTTTGAATTCTAGTGGGATACGAATTGGAATCATCGTGTTCTGATATTTTAAGCCGTGAAATTTAGTTCATTGCTGAATCACTATGGCTAGTGGAAGATTTCCTAAAGGCGGAGTCTTACTTTTACTCAGATCATAGTTAATCCCCAATTAGATTTCAGGTGGTTATTGTGTTTGTGGCATGACTTTGGGTGTTTGGATTTATTCTGATAGCCATTTTTGGTGTTTTTCTTTTGTTTTGTAACTGTTACTTAATTGGCTATTGGTTATGTTTAGTACAATGTTCTTATCTTATAAGATCAGTCTAGTGGATATTCTTTTTTTTTCTTTTTTCTTTTCTATTATTATTATTTGACATTCTTTCTTGCAGGATTCATTTGTTGGTGAGGCTAGTAATGGCCAACCTTCCAGACAAAGTGATATTGAAATGGGACAGGTTCCGAGAAGCAACTCTGATATGGGAATGGAAGCTTTTAATAAGCAGGTACACAATGTGGATGCTTTTTAGGATATTTGATTGTGTGGGTATTATTTTAGCAGAGGCTGGGAGCTTTTTAGGGTATTTGATTGTGTGGATATTATTTTAGCAGAGGCTGGGAGCTTTTTAGGGTATTTGATTGTGCGGATATTATTTCCATTGTCAACTTGTTTCTTCATGTAGTTTGTTCACTATTTCAGTTAATATTCTTTGTTTTGATATTAGATCAATGAGGCTGATAAACAAATCGATAAGCTGGCTGTACTACTTCAAAAGCTAAAGGTATCCATTATCTTCATCGTTTGTTACTTTCTAGCAGCAAGGTCTCACTTATAAGCTAAGTGTACTTTTTCCAGGAAGCCAATGAGGAATCGAAAGCTGTTACAAAAGCATCTGCCATGAAAGGTGTGTTACAATGCAATGTTATTGTTTTTGGCTACATCAAATGCAATGTTTTGCTTTAATTGAAATCAACCATTTTGAATTCATTTGTAAGATTTTCTGGTATAGGTGCTGACAATGTATTAACTTAGGTGTCTCAGGCAGTTATGGCCAGACACATGACAATTGTCTTACTGGCAACAGTGATGTGATATAAATACTTATGCTTCACATTTAATTTTTTTAATATACTGCATTTGATACCCTTTAGAACAAGGAATCAGACCTGTTACTTAAGCATCTGCCATTAAAGGTGTATTTTGATGCAATGTTATGTTTTAGTTGAACAATCCATTTTGAATTTGGTTGTAAAATTCTCTGGTATAGGAGCTGAAAATGTATAAAGTTGGGTTTGTCAGGATGCTATAGCCAGACAGACACATATCTTGCTAGTAACAATGACAAGTTATATAAATATTTATGCTTCAAATTTTAATTTTTTTGATATACTGCTTTTGGTTCTGAAATGTATAAGAGCAAAACTTAATAGTGTTTATGAAACTAATAAACCTGTAACATTACTTTCAGCTATTAAGAAGAGGATGGAGAAAGATATTGATGAAGTTGGAAAGATTGCCTATGGTGTCAAAACAAAGATAGAGGCTATAAACAGAGATGTATTGAGTTACAAGCTGAATATTGTTTTTATTAGATGTCAATTTATTGTAAAATTTCAGAAAAGTATGGAGTTATTTATTCAGGAACTGTTTTGTGCAGAACCTATCAAATAGACAAAAGCCTGGCTGTGAGAAAGGAACAGGTATTGACAGAGCAAGAATGAATATGACAAAGTAAGTTGGTATTACGCATCTTTATTGTTCTGGATAATAAGACCCAGAAACTGAATTCTTTACTTTTCCTTGAAACCACAGTGCCTTGACTAAAAAATTCAAGGATCTCATGACAGAGTTCCAGGTATGTTTAGTTTTTAACACCTAACACCAGAAGCTGTTTTCCAACTGCATGTCTATCTTCTCATTAATGTGTTATGTTATAGACTCTTAGACAAAGAATACAAGATGAATATCGTGAGGTTGTGGAGAGAAGAGTTATAACAGGTTTGAACATTTCAGCCCTATGTTGCACTATGGCTTTATCATAGCTTTCCTTTGTTATTTTAAACTTATCTATTAGAAAGAGTTGAATCATGTTCACTTTGGGATTACTTTGATTTTACAGTCACCGGAACTAGGCCAGATGATGAGGTGAGATTAACTTGTGAGTTTGTTACTTGAGATGAGATATCCACTGCATATAAATTTTGTTGTAATTGGCCATTATTGATTGTGATAGACAATTGATAGCCTGATAGAAACTGGAAACAGTGAGCAAATCTTCCAGAGAGCAATTCTAGAAGCAGGCCGAGGACAGGTATTTGGTTTGTGATTTCTCACTGGACTTTACCTTTTCCTTTTGAAAAATTTAGCACATTATGCTATCTTTTATATCTCTGTCTTCCACTTTTCTTGTGGGTGTATTTAATTCCTGGAAAAGAAGATCAGTAAAAAATTAATTCATGATCACTACGTTGATTTAATATCTTTGTATTTGCACTAACTTTTTATAGGAAGGTGAGTTTTCACATTTTTATCGCATACGTGGCCAAAGATGATAATTATTTTAGCGGGGTGGGGAAGGGTAGTGAAGCATGTCGATTGTTTTATTTTGGAAACACTTATGAAATTATTGTATTTATGATTGTTCCTTCATTTGTGTTGAGACTAAACTGACTTAAGGAAACATGGGTTTTTGCAGGTAGTGAACACAGTAGAAGAAATTCAGGAGAGACATGATGCTGTGAAAGAAATTGAGAAAAAACTTCTTGATTTACACCAGGTTTGCCTGCTCAAAGATCTCAGTCTTAAGTATTTAATTTAGTTGTAACTATACCATGTCTAATCCTATTTCGGTATTTCTCAGATTTACCTTGATATGGCAGTCTTAGTTGATGCTCAAGGAGAAATTCTAGATAACATTGAAAGTCAGGTTTGTGCACTCTCCCCCGCACACCATTGATCTTGTGTTTGTATGCATGTGTCTGTAAAATACAGGGCATATTTAGTTTGATTTTGAGTTAATGAGAGACTTGTTCAGGTCAACAACGCAGTCGATCATGTCCAGAGAGGGACAACTGCACTTCAAAATGCTAAGAAACTCCAGAAGAACTCTCGAAAATGGATGTGCATTGCCATCATTATACTGTTGATAATAGTAGCTATCATAGTTGTGGGGGTTCTGAAACCTTGGAAGAGTAGCTAGGGCACATGAGTGTGGTGGTCCTTCACCTTTTGTCCATAAAATATGCATGTGTCAAAGGGATGTCTTAGAGCAGGATTTTTAAGCCTTCTTATCTTGTATGATTGAGATGCTTGTTTTGTGTGGTGTGACTGATTTCTGATTACATACATTGTGGTGTCTAACGATATAAATTCATATTCTTTGTAGCCCTCAAAACTTTATCAGGGTCTTCTGTTTCCTTGTATTATTATTCTATAAAGCAGTTTTTTCTGTCATTGGCTAGTTCCAAATCTTGCATTCATGTTCTTCTTGGAAAGAAAGCATATACTTGGAGAACATTCGCATTCGTTACTACTTCCTAGTTCTCATTTTTGTCATCTGGTTAAGATAGTGCTCCTCAGTAGTTTACCAAATATAAACGTGAGAATTATACTTTGTTCACTTGAATTGGTCTTTTCTTCAATTCACCAACTTTTGTTTTTTCTTTGGCAAGTTTTACTTTCCACTTATTAACCTTTCACAATTCCAAATGTTCACGCTGCTGCCATCTTATTTCTTACCCCAATTCCTTATAGTTCATGTTCATCTTCTTCGACATCATCTTTTTTAATTATAATAATCTTATAACCATCTTTCATGTATTATTATTATTACTGGAATTTACGTGCATATCAATATACATTATCTTCTATGTCTATAACTTAGAAAGTTATCTAGCTTGTGAGAATTATACTTTGTTCACTTCTTCACCATCAATTTCATTTAAAGTTTATCTCAAACAATCATGAATACATTCTTCCTCTTCACAAATATTTCTTTAGAAAAAATCTCCTAGGATTTCTGTTCTTCCTTTTCTCCTTATTTAAATTTCATAACCTCTTCCTGATTTTTTTCATCTTGATTCCTTTTTTTCTGTCTCTCTTATATCATTGTGTTTTTTAGTTTTATTTTAATTTTCTAAAAATAAATTATGTGTCCCTTTTCACTTGGATACTAATTTTAATTTATTTATCTCTTTTATTTTATTTTTATTAAATTTCATAATGTTGACCGCATTCATTATGCCTTGAAAATTATTCAAACATAATCATTATTGAACTTTAACTATTTTTATTTATGATGTTAACAATTGTTATATTTAGACATATTTAATATTTTTTTACTATAAAAAAAGTATTGATTTTGTTTACTTTAATTATATGATATACATAAGTTTTCATCTTTTATGTTAAATAATTAAATTTATATATTGGAATCGACCTATTGGAAAGCATATGTCAAAGTAGTAGTTTTATTTGAATTTCAAAATAAAAATGCATCTTAAGAATTCTTAGTTAACTCTTGAACTCTTGCTTGATTATGTACTGGGTTATTTTCAATTATTAAGAGTTACTAATTTGAAAAAGTGAACAGTTGTATATACTCAAGAGTTGAGGGTGAAACTAAAATAGAACGTATCCTGAGCCTTTTAATTTTACAAGTTGTGTTTGGTACGGGAATAGAGAAATAAAGTAGATGAAAAAAAAGGGTGAGCGGTAATATAAAAATATATAGTAAAAATTAAAGATATTTAGATAAATATAAATGAAAAATAGATAAGGTTAAAAAATAGAAATAGCAGTGAAAATAAATGAAAAAACACTTCAGTAATTTGTTTGGCTGAGGAATGGAGTGGGATGGACCTTGCGCGTTTGAAATCTTTCCCCCACAAGTTGGGAATAAATAGGATGAGGGATAATTTTTTTTTCTTTTATGATGATTGAATTATACTTTCTATACTATAAAATTTAATTTGCTTTCATTTTTTAAAAACAAATAATACAAATTTTAATTTTTTATTAAATATTTATCATTATAAAAGCTCTGAGAACATCTAGTGTGCATGCTTAGGAGTTACTTAGAATATGAAATTGTTGTTTGGAACAATTTTTTCACTAGAAAATTCCGACCTGGTATTTGGAGTTCTTTACAAGTCTAGATTTAAAAAAAATATGAAGTTATAAATTGTTTGGAATTCTTTATAATTTCATCTATTAGAGTAAAATTGCAATTTTTTTAACAATGATATGATAGAATAAAAACTAGAAATCATGTTTATCAATATTACTTCAATATATAAAATAAGTCATGAATTACTTTTATTGGAGATACTTACAATCTACTTGTTCCTTCCAAATTTGTTAAGACAAAACTTATGTAAATACTGTAGGCATTATTCTCTCATCATATTTATAAATTCACTTCAACAATATACAATGCATTTAATAAAATACATCTTCCCAAAGTAATGTGAGAACAGAACCATCGAAGTTTTTTTTTTTTTTCCTTCTTTTGTTCTGTTTTATCCAAATAAGCAGAGAAAACTTCACTTTTTGACTTATTTTGATGTATTCAAACAACACTTTTTTATCACTTACATTCGGTCTATTTTTCACACTCGTTCTTCCCTCTTATTTCTTTCGAATAGATTGTCGCATGTAGAGAAGGTTAAAAGTCACAGTATATAAATGTATAAAAAACTTGAACTGTTACAAATCTTTGCCTTTGATGATTTTCAGTCTCTGCTAAATCAACCTTCCATTTTTATATAGCAGTTATGAATATAGTGCTAATGTCACTAGCAATAATTTAAATAATTTTTAACAGATTTATTGAAGCAATTAATAAAATTACTCCCAGAAAAGATACAATTGACACCGGAGGAAATGCCTTGTGCCAGTATCATTTGTATGTTTTGTTCATGTTGTTTGGGAAGAATAGTGTAATAATTGCATCAATTGTAAAAGAATTCGACTACTAGGCAAGTGTTTACTATTTCGGACAACTAATCAATCATGTCTTTCTAAATGTCATTCTGTAATGAACAGGTGACAAACGCAACTGATCATGTGAGACTGGGCAACGACGCTCTCCAAACTGCAAAAAGCTTGCAAAAGAAGTCGAGAAAATGCATGATGATTTCAATTATATTGCTCCTGGTCATTGCCCTCATTATCGTTCTCGCAGTTTTGAAACCATGGAAGAAGTGACCAGAAGAGAGGAAAGTGATTTTATTACTTGGATATAAACAAGAACACAAATATAGACATTTCACTTTTAATTTTCTTTAAGTGCATGAAAACCTTCAGTTGTTACAGTAGTGTCACTTTGACTGTAGTACTTCCACATTGTCAAACTAACTTTTAGTGTGTCGTTGCACAGCTAATGCATGATAAGTTGTCCACTATTTTTTTAACTCTCTCTGCATCATGAAAGGAGATATTTACCTTTTCAACCTATGGCTATCGTATACAGTAGGGCTTTTATCCATTACTTTTTTGTAAATAACGTAACTCAAGCATTTCCCAATACATCACTCTGATTAGCCAGCTACCAAACTTAGTTAAATCTACCTATATTTAACTACCCATGCTAAAGTTAGCTGGTTGTGTTATTGTTGGTTAAATAGGTATGATAGTTGCTCAATAGGTACGTGTGAGAAGTGTATATGACTAGTACTATTCTTCCTTCGTAAGCAAATGATTGATTTGATTTTCAGGAGAATTAGCATGGGTAATGCATTCAAAAGTTGATATGCAAATATTTGAGGTAAGATCGAATAGTTGAATTCTGTTAAATTTCATTGACTGTATAAACAGCAATGGTTGAGATGCTGTTGAACCATCATGGCTCCTAACCTGTCACCTATCCCATGTTGATGTTAAATAGTTAAGTCATAGTATACACAATCTAAATGTCAATTGAGGAAACCAATGTCAGAGATAGAATAGTCTCATGGGCTTCCACATAAACTGGCTTAGAGACAAGTGCAAAGCCAGAACAATAGATAATAATCCACTACTTTTATACAGGCTGTTTGTTTTTTATAGTTGATAAGACTAACTTAAGAACATCTATGAGTCCATGCTTCTGTCATCAAACGATGAAGAAAGGTTTTTCCATCTTCAGAATCTCTGTAGCTTCGTTACAGTAGAAACCCACCTCTAAAGTTTGTCTCTAAAAGTAGACAAATAAGGGTGTACACACCCTTAAATTCAAGTAGATAAAGTTCATAAATCAGTTTAAAAGTAGATGAAGACATCACATACCAAGCTTAGATGAGTAACCAAAACAAGAAGGTAAGTACATGTTCTTCTGACTTCTAAAACCGAGAACTATTCAATATCTTGAAATTGAACCTGCCTTCTTCTAACTGTTAGTTATTTTTCTTTTATATACTTGTCCATCCCAAGCTCATCATTCCCCCCAAAATATTTTATCATGTTAGGTATCATTTTTCCTCATTAATTCTTAGGATACTTTGAATTTTGACAGCTTTAACACGGATTGTCTACATAGCTGCAATATCATGAGAACTTTTGTCCGCAGAGCATCTAGACCTCAAGGGATATAATTTCCAAGAAAGTTCCTAAGGCACAAAGGATAGGAGGTAGAAAATTTCAACAATCACCGTAATCTTAATTATCCTCACAGTGATTTGAAATGGAATTTAGCTATTGCATGTTCGTAGCCCAGAGGGTTAGAGAATTGAACTTCAGCATCCTTTTGGCTTGATACTTGATAGGCAATATGGTCATCGACTACCCTTGATTTTAATATTTTCATAGAGCTAAAGACTACACTAAAAACAAAAACAGGAAAGTTTGAACACTCCAAGTTACTATTACTTATCACACGTCAAATGGTCCCAAATTCAATTGTCTATGCTTACCCTTGAATATTCCGTGCAATTATATAACAACATATTTCACTTGCATTTTTCTCTTATTAAATTTTACCCTTAATTAAATTTTCTTAAATCAATAGAAAGAACTACATTCTTCTTTTTAAATTAGGCATATCAGCAGGAGCAAATATATTCAAGTTTTCAAAACTTCATATATTACCTTCATAATATGCTGAGACATGGAAGCAGAAAATTATGTTCTATATAGCCATTTGAACAACTTTTATCACTCAAATCAATCTGAATTTCAATATAAAGGAAACCCTAATTCTTTTAAGTTAATATTATACTGGGTTCAAAGCCTTTCTAGGTTGAATTTTTCACAGTATAAATATACTATTCAGTTTATTTTCTATCATGACATTTAGTAGACGTCTAGCACATTTATAGCACTATTTCATGATGCCACAGCACTATTTCATGATGACAATAGTGAGTATCATCTAAAAATCAATACCATAGAAGCCATTTCAAAGTAGATACTCCTTTTTGATTGTTAAAGGTCAGAGAAATGAACAATCAACCATATGTCAAACATCAGTCTCAATATCCAATATTTTAATTTACTAATTGAAATCATAAAGATCCACAATTTCTCTTCCTAACAAACAAGGGTGCAATAGAAACTCAATGTTCAGCATCTGAAGTAGAAAATACGTGCAATCCAGTACAAAAGAGCAATCCAATGTAAGGATTTATGATGGCAAAGCTAAAAAATTCCCGTTTGCAGAAGAGAAATGTGATTTTGACAAAACAAGGTTAACTTTAAACAAATAATATGTGTAGATAACTACAAGACATTATGTATAATAAGTTTATCAATTTTCATAATAATAACAAAAGTTTTAACTAAGAATGATTTCTAATTAGTTGATAATATAAATCTTTTACATTAATAGTCCATATCTGTTTAAATAAAAAATAAAGACTTTGTACCGGATTGAAAATTCCATACTAAGTCTCAAAAGAAACTTGCATTTAAGAAATAGTTTTTCAGACAAACTATACTTACCACCTGATCGACATTTCTTCAAAGTGAAGATTATCCAAAACCAAATTTACAAATGCAAACCCAAATTTACAAAAGCAAACCCAAAATCCACGGTTTAGAGTTCTCTACCGACCTTCTCTCTATTATTTTTAAAAGGATCTCTTTTGAAGTTAACTCCTGTGAAAATGATCCAAAACCCACCTATAAACCTAGAGTAATTGGCATGATCCCGAATCTGCTGAGAAACTCAGGAGCATATGGATTAGATCTAGTTCGATTTCAGGGTTAGTAAAAGAAAGGTAATTGAAAAATGCAAAATTCATAGCAAGACAAACATTGAATATACTCTGGACAATTCAAAATCTAAAAATAGAAAAAAGAGATTAGCTTGAAGGGTTAGAAAGTGATACAATAAACAAAAGAAAGCAAAACAAAACGGTGTATACCTTGAAAAGCATGGATTTCATGTTTGGTTAGAAATTAGGTTGCGGGATGGCTGATGGCGAATCAGCGGCGAACTTCTCACCTCATCCACTCAGATCCCCCTGGCGTTTGTGACTGAAATTCAGAGAGAGAAAGGGAAGGAGAGAGGAGAGAGAGTTTTTGTCTTGAGGAAAGAGAAAGAGACGACGTGACAGGAGTGCGTGCTTTAATTAAAATCAATATTATTTTTAAATCAGATTTAATTGTTTTAAGTAAATGATTAATTGTTACAATTAAGTAAATTCTCTCTCACTCTATCGTATCCAATTTATTTTATTATTTAATTGCAAACAAATTTATTATTATTTGAATAAAAAATTCAACTTATTATTATTATTTTTAACAAATATTATTTTATTTGAACATATTATCACATTTTTATAACTCTATTATTTTTTAAAATTTAAATAACAATAAATAATAGTGTATTGCTATTATTAAATATTATATTATTAATAATTTTATATAAAATTAACTTCTCCTACTTAAAGTTAAACTATAATTTCACATCATTATCACATCGTTTTCAGAGTATTTATGTTATATTTTATTGAATAATTATAATAAAATCATGAATAAAATATATTTTTATATATTTATGTTCAATATATTTAAAATATTTTATTAAGGTTTTAATGATAACTTATTTTGTATATAATTTAAATATCGGATAAATTCAATATTATAAAAAATATGATTAATAAATATATATTGTTAGAGTCAGATTTAACAAAAATTTTCTTTAATAAATTTTAAGTAATATATGGATAAATTTTATAATTCATAAAAACAGTTAAATTTACACACATAAATATTTATATGGTATAAAATTATTTATTAAAATATTAATAAAATAATTAATAATATATAAAAATCAAATAATCTTTTTAATTATATTAAATACAAGTATTTTTTATAGTTATTATATAAAAAATATATTTTATTCTAAAATAATTTATATTTTAAGAAGTTTTTAGAAGTATAAATTATATTAATTTTAATTTGTATAGATAAGTTATTAAATAATTTTTATATTTGAAAAAAAAAATACAATCTAACCATAAATTTTGGGAAAACATTGATATAGGATATAGAAAAAATATAACATCTAGTGAGGGAATGTCTTATAGAGGATAAGATGAAATATATATGAGTGTGATAAAGAGTAAATGTGATGTGACAATTATAAAAAACATACTTTCAATTCCTTTTTTTTTTTTTTTTTGACTATTATGAAGAGATTGTGTTAGGTGAAAACAAAACTTAATACTAGTTAAAATTTATTAAAAATTACAAATTTTAATGAGTTTCAGTTCTTATTTAATGATTTTTTTTCTGATTTTATACTTTTTAATAAATTATAACTAATAGACATGTTTATATATATATATATATATATATATATATATATATATATTCTTTTAGGTGAAATTATCGGTTTTAGCAGTGACACCTATTCTTTTAGGTGTGTTCCATTTCCACTGATAGGAACGAACAATATGGACCTACCACTACCATCCATTCTCTCTGTCTTACTCTTTTTCTTGGTATTAGTTGCCTCTTCTTGTCTTTTCTTTTGGCTGAAAGTTACTTAAAAAGGATCTTCTATCTTCATCCAACTCTCAATCTTTTTGAGTTATACTATTTTCTTTTATTATTTAATGGATAATCACTATTTTCCATGGACACTCACTTCACACTGCAGAGAATCCAGAATCTAAACTTCTACCATGTGAACAAGGTGTAGTTCCACTTATACAGGAAAGTTATAACCATTAACATGTGGTTAAACATTAAAAAACATATTAACTATGTTGTTTCAATGTTTAATAACTAAGGTTATAAACTTTAAGAATTCATTCATACTCTGCACAAGTAAGTAAACTAAGAATGAAACATCTGAATCTGTATTCAATTATGATATCCATATATGGTTGGATTCGAACTATTTGTACACAGATTATTGCGTACACAAGACAAAAAGCCAAAATGGTAATGAATAAGAAAGACAAACGAAGAAAGTGTAAAGCACTAATATATTCAGATAAGATCACCACCAAGTAACATTTCAAGATGGACAAATATTACACAAACCAGCTTTTATAGTTGCTGTTCCTTTTTTTTTTTTTTCTTTTTTTAGCCAATACAAATACAAATACCTATAAATAAATAAAACCAACTTTAATTCAGTTTATGTCCCACAAAACCACTCCCACAACTTAACACTAATGTTGCACCCAAAATCTTGGTTGCTCATCCTAGATTGAACACCAATAGTAGTACTGTGGCACTTCATTCACTAGAACTCGAGAATCTCGAGGTCCAATACTTCTCTATTTCCTCTGCTGTTCTTCCAGGAATTCTTCCAGCAATTAAAGACCACCTAAAAAGGAACACATTGTTTTACAAGCTCCATCTGCACACTATTTAAAAGGGTTAAGAAGCAAAGCATGTTAACAAGAAAATTTTCTCACCTCTGCCCAACTAGTTTATACATCTTGATGACAAGAGTTTCCTCATCTTCAGAAAATTCAACCTTGGAAGATCCACGCTTCCCTGAATCTAAACAAAGTGTCTCATGTTTCATTATAAAAACAATGCAGAAAAGTAGCTAACTCCCAATTTTTTAATTAGGCATCTTCTCATGTCAGTTCTAAGAGAGACTCAATGAAAAAACAATTTTTTTGCCGTAAGTTTATTTTCATATGAGGATAATAGTAATTTTCACTTTTCCACAATCATGTGCATGTCATTTAATAAATGGGTGTTTGTCAAAAACTGTAGAGTGTGCTCAAGTACCTTTTTCTAGCAAAAGTGATGTTTTTTACACTTTCTATCATCATCTGGAATTATTAAAATTATAAATTTTGCAATTTTCAACTTCAGAAAACGGTAGAAAATGCTATTAACTCACACATGCAACTTAGAAAGGAAAACTCACGGTAAAAGCAAGTTAGCAATCCAAAAGAAGATTGTGATATTAGCTATTCCAAAAGTGTTTGGTGTTCCATCAGAAAAGACTAAAAGGGTGACCCACAAGAAGAAGCATTGGAGTGGATAAAACTGCAAATATTAACTCGTGTGTACTCTCAAGTTTGCAGATTTAATAAGAGAGCATAGCCAACTACCATCCTAGTAATTCCTCTACCAAAAAAAGTATTAAATGCATTTAATATCATAAAAAAGTACATTTCTTTGTGTAGTAAGAAACATCTGAAAATGTTCTAAAGGGGGAATAGAGTGGAGAATGAAGCATACCAGCAGAATGTGAAGAAGTTTGAGTGGAAGAGCAATTGGAGTCAGCCATTGCAAGGAGGTGGTAGTTTGAGTGGTGGAGAATGAAGTATGTGTTGAAGAGAAGAAGTTTTGTTGAGAGGTATAAATAGAAGGAGAAGGACAATGGTTGCTGGTGAAGATTGGGAAGAGAGTGGGAAGAAACAGAGAAGAACGGTAGTTGAAGTTGGGGCGAAGGTTGACCATTTAAGTTTAACTTTGTTAGGTAGTTGGACAATTTATTGTTTGTTGAAAACTACTGCCTCTGCACAGGAGCATATATCAGTTTAGTGTTCACCAGGATATATTTCTTTCTTTATTTTGTTTTTAAGATTTATCTTTATTTTATATTTTTTAACTATTTTTATCCTTTTTTTTAAAAAATGGATCAATTTATTTTCTAGATAATATTTTGAAAAATTTTGGCTGATTTAGAAAAGGTGAATTTATAACATTCTATTCACTTTTTGATGGTTTGAATATAACTGAACATAAACATAATGAAAATCCTGTTAAAGGTGAATCTAAAAGACAGAGGTGAATCCAACGTTGGATTTACTAGGAGTAGATTGGATCTTATGAGAACCATTCTTCAAATTAGGTTTATTATCGAAAAGTCGAAAATTTTAATATTAGGTTTTCTTTCAATAGTTTTTTTGTGAAACTTTCATCTATATTTGTTGTCCTATTTTGTTTGAAGATAAGTTGAGTTCCATACATTTTACATAGTGATCTAAAAATATAAATTTAACAAAAATTTTATTCCACTGAAATGTTATTTTAATAATTAAAATATTAGAAAATATATTAAAAATTAAGAGACTTTGTTATTGAATATTTTTAAAACGAATTAAATACTATTTTAAAACTTTCTTGATTATTTTAATTACTTTTTTTTTTTTACTTTTTCTTGCATGCTTATATGCTGTAAAGCAATAACGCCTAAAGTAAACTATCTGCACTCACGTTGTACCTTATAAATACAAATGCTATTAAAAAAACACCAAAAAAAATGTCATAATACATTCACGCGTTATATAAATTGGAAATTATTATAATTGAATTTAATATTTTTTTAATATGGTAATTTCAAACTTCTGGTGTAAGCTAATTATTTTTGTTATACATAAAAGAATTATATTACAAATTTATTTCAAAACTTTATTTATTTGTCATCACATTTTTTCTCTCTCTCTCTCTCTTCTTATTCCATTATTATAAACTTTATTGTATACTTATATGATATAAGTAAAATTATTCAATTATTTTGGACTCGAAGGGAAATGAACTTGGTCTCTTATTTAAGTATGGAACGTGTTTGTCACGATCCTATCATAGTAATAAAGATTATTTACTTTTTTTCAAAATAGTTTTGAATATTTTATTTTTAAAATTTTAAAAATTGTTTAATATATATTTCATTAAAATATTTTTAATTTTCAAAAATTAATAGAAAAAAATGAATAAAACTTGTTTAATATTTTTAGTTTTATGTTTTCAACTTGTCAAAATTATTTTTTATCTTTTATCAATTTTTTGTCGTCATCCGTATTATTCTTATCTAAAACACTTTTTAACCTAGAATCATAAAACAATTTAATTAATTTATTTAAAAAAATTAATATTTTTAGATAGCAATGATAGTGTATTAGTTTAATACAGCGTGGTGGGAGAGCAATGATAGTTTTTAGATTATTGTGTCATATTTCCAATATCCGAGAAAAGAATTATTGTTGTGTTTAAATTAATGTACATTAAAAATTATAATAATGCAATACATATATACGGTCAATAGGGTAAATAAGAAAATTATGTTTCTTTATATTTTCTTTCTGTATTTTAATATTGAAATTTGAAAATTATATATATATATATATATATATATATTCATAAATATTTTAGAATCAAATTTTTGGAAATACTTTAGAAAATTTATTTAAAAAAATTCTTTAATTAAAAAAAATAAATTTATTTTTTTACTGAAGAATTGATTTTAAAACATTTTTTCAATTTTTTTAAAGGGTCAATTTAAAAAAAATTTCAAAACAAATTTTTCAGACCCTTCTATATTAAATTTTTTAGAAGGTTTTCAAAATCACCTTACAATTAATTTTATAGAAATGGTATCTTAATTTTAGAAGTAAAATAATATATTATTAATAAATAATAAATAAATATAAAAAATGAAAAAAATTGAATTATGAATATATAAATAAATATATTAAAGAATTATCAAATTTAATAACGCAAAACAAAAATTTTGAGGGTCATTATCTCTTATTTTTAATAAGTTCTGCAGTTAAATAGAAAACTAATTTCATATCGTTTTTTAAAAAGATTTTAGAAAAATTAATTATTTTTTTTTTTCATAAAGTTTATTGTAATTTTTTTTCTCCTCTAACGTTTCACTTCTCTCCACACGCTACGTGCTTCAACCACTTCCGACACGGGTGATGATGGTTTTTCATGCAGCAATGAAAAAAAAATAGCTACAGGACCGTGAAAACATACAAGAAAATTAAAAATATACAAAATATTGGTATCATTTAAGATAGGTTTTAGGTATAAAAAAAATATAAAAATATAGGAAGGATATCTTGTATGAAAAATAGTATTTTTTTTTCTTCCAAATCCAATATACATCACAATAAAAAAAAAAAAAAACATAAACCATGATGATTTATCCATCAACTAGAACAAAGATCCAAAAACAAGCTTTTTAATATATAATTTAATAATTATACGAAATAATATGTTTACTTATTTAAATTGGATGAAATGGCATATTTTAAAAAATATAATATAAATAAAATATTATGTTGTATACAATATTAATTAAATTTATTATCAATGCATAAATATTTTGAAATATACCTTGTTATTCGGATATTTATATATAAGCACATTAAAATATTGAAACCAAAGAAAGCAATTCCACTATATTAATATTTATCATTTTTAAGTGTCTGTCAGAAAAAATATATTTTTATTTAATACTTACAATAGAAAACAACTTTAATTTAAATACAATATTTAAAGTGATTTTATTAGAATAAAAAAAACAATTTTTATGCATTCTTATGATTATTAACTAATTAAAGTTATTTCATATGTAACTTTTTAAACGGTCACGGATTAATTTAATTTACAAGGTCAAGAATTTAATTGTGCATCTTTTTAGTTTAAGATCTAATTAAAAAATTTAAATAATTTAGGACCAATTAATTAATTTAAGTTTTTATTAAATCATTCATGATCATTATTTTGCGATGATTATATGAAAAATAATGATAATGTATGATTATTATTTGCATAACTAATTTCATTAAAATATTTAATTAAAATTAAGATTTCTTTTTTATAATAATTAATTGTTTTAGTTAAGCAAAATAAAGTTATCATTATTGGGTATGTTAGTTTTAACTAAAAATAATATACTTTCATTAATTATGATAAAGCGTAAACTTTTTCTTAAGAAAATTTCTTTAAATTTTGAAATTCATTTGTCTAATATTTTTATAATTAAAAAATAATCTAAAATTGAACTATCTAATATTATATAATATAAACTTATTTTAATTTTATTAAGGTAAAAAATGAAGTAGTTTCATAGTTGTATTTCCAATGTTCAAATCATTCGTCTATAAGATAAAAGAAGCACTGATCCGCAACACGGCCACTCCATCTTCTTCAATCCATAGACAAAGAAGAAAAGATCCAGAATACGTAATTGAACTGGGACTTTGATTCCTCGCAGTTTGTCTGCGTTGTACGAGGCAGGTGTCAACTTTCACTTGATTTCGTTGGTGACGTCCATCTGTTTGATGAAATACTCGTGTGAAAAATATTTGTGTTTCTTCATTGCAGATTGGATGGAGGGCCTGAGAAAGATGGCGGGGCTCGGCTTGGTGTTCTCTGGACACCCTCGACGGTTATACGGCACGAAAGTGGACCTGAGAAAGCTACGGCCGATGATTCTGAAGAGAATCGAGAAACGGGCACAGGGTTACCCGGTCCGCGCCATGGTTCCGGTTGCCAACGAGGTTCTCCAAGCAAGAAATGTTATAATCCATGGGGTTTCTACCCTCCTTAATTTCTTTCCTCTCATGGCTTGCAAGTGAGTTACTTATTCCTTTTTTTGGAGGGGTAGTAAATACATTTTGATTTACATTAGGGATAAACATTTTTATTGAGTATGATTTTGATATGTAAAGATAGTAATCGACTTGAGCATGTTACCTCTGAAGAGTACCTATGATCTTTGACAAAAAAATGATCATTTTGCTATACATAGGACATCATGTCAACATTTGATGATACTTTACAAAGTCTTTACATTATTAGTGTATTTTAATTTTATTTCTTTTATTTAGTACTGATACTAGTAAATCACTTCCAATTTGTTGGTTTATATTAGAGTTTAATTTGATTTTGAGTGTCACAAATAAGACCGAAAAATTAGAACACAAAAGCAGTTTCTTTGGTTCTTAAATGTGATTATGGTTATTTTTTAATTAGGCACTTATGCTTTATTGTAACTCCATGTTTTTTTCTTTCTTATAATGACAAAGCTGGGGTGAGTGAATTTAAGAACTATTGAATAGTTATGGGAATCAAGTTTATAGTTTTTGTTGTATAAAGATGATATTGAAAATGGATGTGAAGAACATGAACCATACAACTCTATTTTATTTTAGTACTAGTATTCGGGATTGTTGCTCTATATTTTTGCATTAGACAGCTTCTTCTGTACTTACATCGTATGCATTTGTAATCTTGTTTAAACAGTCATTGATTAACACAGGATTTGTTTTGATCCTTCCTTTATTGGTTGGTTTAAATATCCATTGAAATAGTAAAATGATGGAACTGACGATTTACAACATTAGCTTGCTATTATAGAGCAAACACTTGCATTCTTTTTTCTGGTGGTTATAAATGATAAATACTGTCAATTATGTATTGGTTGTTTCTACTTAAAATGATAAAGTTGTTTTGTAAGTATTTTTCAAGCTTCTAATCTTTAAAAATTGTGACGATTCAATCACTGTCAGTCCTTTATCCAAGGAACAAAGTTTGAACCAGTGCGGTTGTGTGTTACTTGGATTTGTTTTCCCTCTGTTAAAAGCTCAAGTTGTTGAATTTATCTTATATTATTCATTTACAGATTTTGTCCAGAGGTATATCTTGGTGAGCAGGGACATTTAATTCAGACTTGCTGGGGTTACAAGCATCGTGCCAAAAATCGGGTTCACGAGTGGATTAAAGGTGGTTTGGATGATATACTGGTCCCCGTTGAATCATTTCACCTGAACAACATGTTCCAAAATGTTATTAAGCACAATGAAAGGTTTGACTTTGATCGCATTCCAGCTGTTGTTGAGCTATGCTGGCAAGCAGGGGCTGATTTCCATGATGAAAACCTTAATTCAAGTAGTTGGAACTCGGAGGCTGCCAGTGGCAGTGTCCCTGCTACAGAACATTTGTTACCAGATGATCTTGCCTCTATAGCTAGTAAAACACTAACTGCTTGGAATACTCTTAGGTCTGGGGTGCAGAAGTTGTTGTTGGTTTATCCAGTAAAAGTTTGTAAATATTGTTCTGAGGTTCATGTTGGGCCATCCGGCCATACAGCTAGGCTCTGTGGGGTTTTCAAGTATGAGAGCTGGAAAGGAGCCCACTTTTGGATGAAAGCTAATGTGGATAATTTAGTGCCCCCAAAGATTGTATGGAGACGAAGGCCTCAAGATCCTCCTATACTTGTGAATGAAAGGAAAGAATATTATGGGCGTGTTCCAGCTGTATTGGATTTGTGCTCCAAAGCTGGTGCAATTGTGCCTGCAAAGTATAATTGTATGATGAAGTTGAATGGTTTGTCTGGTCCTATCAATAATAATTTTTTTGGGATCACTAGAGAATCAAACTTTTGAAAGCAACAGTATGTTGAATTGTAGGGCTGGTTGGAGTCAGGCTCTGAGTCAGGGACAGTTTAGGGGGAAATTTGACTTGTCATTATTTCCAGCTGCAATATTTTGCATAATTTTAAGGTTGCCTGGCATATCTGATTATGGATCCATTTGCCTCTTATCTTGCTATAATCTTCTATTGCACGTAGCAAGCTAGAAATTTGGTTCCTATATCTCGTGTCTCCCAAAATATTTCTGCAGAGCGAATCAAAATCTCTACATAGATGTGGTAGGACTTATTGGACCCGCTCCTCAGGTTGAAAGCAAAAGGTAATTTTATGTCCTACTTCTGCGATCGAAGATCCCGGTTATTTTTCCCGTTTGATTTATTTTTTCATTTGAGTGATCAAAAGTCCATAATTGTTCACCTGGGAAATATAGCATTGTTGTAAATGTTTGTAATAAGTACATTGCTGTTAAAAATTGTAAGGGCATTGTAACACTGAAATTTCTGATTTTCGAGATATCGAAAGGGAGGATTGGTTTCTTTAGAGAAGCGTTTATTTCTTATTTACCATCAACCATCTATTAGTTTATCAGAGTTATAAGTTACAACTGTTGATTGAAATCAAGGAATAAGATTGTAATAAAATACATATACCTGTCTAACATATAATGTTGAAATCTATTCCCCTTGAATTTTTCGTCGATAGAGGTAACTGTACATTTCTTTTCTCTCTAAAGATTCATCTTGAAAGGGTCAAATCATTATCTGGTATGTTGCTGGCTCTTGCGGATGATGTTTTCTTTTCATAACGGATGTCGCATGCACAAGTTCTTTATAAACAAATTGCTTGAATTCTAAAAGAAATTGTTCTGGTTTGTTTAAAAGTTGTTATCACTTACGATATTAAAAGTAATTTGTAAACACCTCTATTGTTAACTCAATGAGGTGTTCATGAAAACAAAATTGTGATGATGGCATCAAACATCAAAGAGGTAGAAACATTAATGATAGAAGAAGGCCCAAAACACTGTTGTCCTTTGTCTAGGAGGTTTGTTTCAGTACATCAGTGGAGTCTCAAAGCAGAAAATACTTTATATACATTGATCCTCATGATGTTAATGACGTTGAGGCTTTTCACGTCTTAAGTTAAAGACTTAGATAGTTTACTAATACTTTTTTCCTTAATCTACTGATGTTTTTTTTTTTTGAGATAAACCGATAGTCACCAAGGATCAAAACAAATTGACTTTATAAGCTCAAGGATTGAAAATAAAATAAAATTGCAATACGAACTATAATGATATGATAATTGACTATGTTTGGCTTGTCTTTTATTATTATCGAAGGATAATGTGATTATCCTCCTTGTTTGTGCGGTCTAATGTAACAGAAAATTTCAAAAGATAAAGTCAATGAAAAAAAATTATAGTTAGTATATACCCTTTTTTCATGTTATTCCTATATTCTACTTCCTTTGTCCTTAATATAATATAATTCAAATATAGTAACAAATACCAATAAAAATAACAATCTATCAAATGAACTGTCATTATTAATAACTTTCAAAATGTATTATTCATTAACCAAAAAAAAATAAAAAATACATACTCGTAATATTTGATAGGGACAAACAAAGAAAAAATCTGATGTTTTATAAAAATTATAAAACCTTATAAAATGGCCCATTAATTTCAAAATTTGTCTTGTATTAAGCATAAGAGGGAATATATGTTTAAACAATAGTTGTTTTTATAATTTAGATTACACATCTTATTTACCCTAGGTCTATCTCACTAATCAGTTCCTTTTAAGCAGATGCCATTTGCCAATTTTTATTGGATTATACATTGATGTTTACAATTCAGAAATTGGCTGGTAATAAGTTTAACGAGAATAAAAGAAAAGAAATTATGTACTATTTCATCTACTCACTATTGAATGCTTCATATACATTATTTTGAACATATAATGATATGTAAAGACGAACTAAAGAGACCAACAAAAGGTGCATGAGAATTCTGAAATTAAAATATAAAATAATACTGATGTTTTATATTGTTATTAAAGTTTCATATCAGTGAAATATTCTGTGTTAAATTTAACTATTTTATCTCCATATTTATTCCTTTTTATTAGAGTTGTTGCATAACCTATTAGAAAATAAATTATTTTGCCTTCATTCTGATTCTCCTTTTTTGGCCTTCATTCTGATTTTTCTTTATTTTGTCCTCAAAGATATTTTGGGTAGAGGAGAAGCCTAAATTGTTAAAAATGGTAGCAGTCACTTCAGATCGTCCACTTAGTTTACTTCAAAGACTTATATTCTATTTAAGGTATATATGAAATCCATCCACAAAAGAAGCCTGAATTGTTAAGAATGGTAGCAGTCACTTAGAAGATTTATGGTTTATATAGCTGTCATTTGAAGATTTATAGTTTATATAAATCCCGAATCACTTGCATTAGCACTCATGTTTGTGGTTTATTACGTCATTTTGTACTAAAAGATATTCCCATAAAATTACGTTATTCTATGACTGTCATTCATTTAATCAATTTTCATATAAAATTTGAATTCTAAATTTGTAATAAATTATGGTAAATCAAGTTAATATAACAAAGGATATTACAATAAACTGAAGATAATTTCAAAAGACATATTAATCATTTAAAGGAAAACAAAGTCTCTAATTACTCATAAAGTTGTTTGGTCTTTTTAACTTCAAAGATAACAAACAATCATGTAAGAAAATGGTTCAACCATCGTAGTTGTTATATCAAGAATTGATCTCATGCATAACCACTGCTAACTGTCCCCTTAAAAACATATAGACAGTCCCCATTTTCAACTCCATGCCACCTGAGGCTACAACTATCCCGCATGATCCTCTGCCTGTGTATAAACAAATAGTCATCAGCAGGCAGAATCTTTCTGCCTATCAGTAACTGCTTCAAGTCATTGACTGTGTTTGCATCTCTCATCTCCAATGGAATGGTGGCTGCATTAAGCAAGCTAGAGGAAGTTTGTACTACCAAGCTTAACTTCCTTGTGGGAGGTTCATCTCTTGATCTATTCATGGTCTTGAGGAACACAACAATTTCAGAAAATTCACGAATGCCATACTCACTTAAGATTCTAAAATCTTCATCCAATTCAGTCCCTGAAAAGTACAGTGTCATTCTTTTGATGGGGGTGCTATCAATGATGTGAATTTTTTCCTTCAAGCTTCGAACAGTGTCAGTTCTGTCCACCTCAATGTTGAGCTTTTTAGCTGAAAATTTCACTGTGAGTTGCATTTTATTTGGGTGTGGCTCTACTGGTTTGATGGTGAGGTCAATTTTTGTACCTTCAGTCACTATTGGGTAATCATCCATGTCTAATCCATCAACTAGTTCCCACCCAGTAACCGAGAGGACTTGTGAAGCCGCTGGCACCCCATGAAGTTGCTCTATTTTCCTCTTGATTGCAACAACTGTTTCTTGGGCACCAACTTCAATGAAAAATTGGTTTCCTCTTGTGACAATAGCAACCTTCATTGTGTAGCCTGATGTTTTCGGACAGGAAAAAGGAAACAAAAGCAGGAAGTTAGAGCAGCTTTAATTTACACAAATAGTACGTCCAATGTGTCAGTAACAAACTATGAGGACAATTGAAATGATTGGTTAGCCTCATGAGATTCTGCATGCAAATGGATGTAAATTGTTAAAAACATGTTAAAGATATGAGCATTCCACAACTTTACAGAATGTGGGGCTCAAGCTCAATTCACGCAAAACTCCTCTCTATATTTGTGTGTGAGACTATATACGTGCTCTCAGGGATATCTTTGAAACTGCATTCTCTGAAATTGACTAGTCATGATGCAGTTTTAATGTACAGTGAAAACATCAGAATAACATCAGAACGAAGCAAGAAAAGCTGCAATAGGGCTTTATCACAAGTTAGCAATTTTTAATCAGTTTATCACTCTGGGATAAATACATGGATGTAGACTAATAGTATACACTGAGATTTTTGCACAATTTAGTATATTAATCAGCCATCATTCTGATATAATTTAGGTGATGTTTTCGATTTAGAACTTCCAAACCAAGCTAAAGCCCGTAATATTATACCTTCTTTTTCGCCCTATGTTTACTCGGTCTAATAAGATTTTCATGTCAGTTTACTTATGTTGTGCAGTTCCTATTTATACACTTCGGTCATATTTTAAACAAGTGTAAAATATTATAGCAGAGAGAAGATAACTTCGGTTTTATTGATTACAATAAAACTTACTGACATAAACTGCAAACTCAGTATTTATACGACTAACTATACTTGCAAACAAACAAACCAACATAATAGAATTAGTACTAAATATTTTCAAACCAATATACCAAAATTAGTTCTAACTAACTATAAGCTAAGTACAATGAGTTAATGCTCTCTCAAGTTGGGAGGTAGATGTCTCAAACGCTCAACTTGGATGATAGATATAAAAGGAAAGATAGGAGTTGTGACTGGTTTTGTTTGTATGTCAACAAGTTGGTGAACTCATTTGATTTAACATGAATCAATCAGATGACCCGGGAGGTGAATTTGCCACTTGAATCATACAATTCAAGATAAGAAGGTAAACATTTTTAAACTCTAGAATAGAAAATTCTCTCAAAAGATAGCCAATGCTATTTCATAAAATGAACCAAAGTTGTCTTTACAGAGGGTTTTATAGGAAGAAAAACTCAATGCATTCGCTCCTTATATGAATGATGCTTCTTCTAGTTTCATCACCAAAGTGGAAGTCAATCTCTCTGTGTTTGGATATCTCATGAAATCTCGGATTGGACGTCAAATGTATTTTCCATTGACTGTCACTCAAATACTAAAAAGTAAACCAACCACTGAAGTTCACTAGCATAGTAGCAAGTGCCTTGAACTTGACTTCTGTAGAAGAACGGGATACAACATGGTGTTTCTTTGATTTTTACGAAATGAGTGAATCTCCAAGGAAAACACAATCACCAGTTGAGTGTCTGGACAATTTCCCCAATCTTAGTTAGCATTGTTTTCGAGTGACAAGGATGAATTGGCAGAAAAGAAAATACAGTTCCTAGAGTTGTTCTGAGATATCTCAATAAATGATGTACTGCATCAAGGTGTGTTGTATTGGGGGAAGACATGCACTAACTTTGCCTTTTGACAACAAAGCTAATGTCAAGTTGTGATA